AAAAAATACATTATTAGTATAGTATATTAGGATATTAGTATATCCCATGTAATTAGTTTATTAGTATATCGCTATTAACCAACTTCGCGTTGAATTTTCATCGATGTTTAGCCTAACAAATTTTTTGTAAATAATAATCGTCGCTATTGTATCGTTAAAAATTATTTTTAAATTATTTCATTGCTCACGAAACAAACAACCACTCATAATTAGAAAATTGAGTCTCGTTTAAATATTAGACTCCCTTCAATGGTCGAGCCGTTGATGCCAGCTAAAACACGCAAATATTTAACAAAAATAATATTAAAGTAGCCAAGACATAGCCAAATATTGTAATGCCACATCACTAGCGGACATTTGAAATTTGCCGACTAGAACCGATATGACGGTTAATCGGGGGTCGGATAATCGATGCTCTACTGTATTTCAGTTTTGTATGCAGATTATTCCTAATGTTTTTTGTAATACATTTTGTATATTCGATGAGAAATTTTAAGATAATCAAATCAATTTTTTCAGAAAATACACCACTTGGAACAATAGAACATTGTTAGAGCGTTACCTTATTTTTGTGTGTCTTGTCATTTTTATTGCCTTCCTCGTCATGATTGGCGTTTTATTACATTTTCAAAGTAAGTAAAAAGTTAAAGAATTATATTTACTTTTTTCTGATTTATCTCATTATTATAATAAAACTGTTTTATGTCACTCGGGCGCCCATACATTGGGGCACTTGGGACAAGTGCTCTCCCTTTGTCGTAGTGTTACTCTTTTCTTAATTCCAAATAAGCTCTACAAACCTTGTTCCTGCAGGCGCCGTGCACCAGTGGAGCTATTTACATGCGCCCGCGGAAAAGTTTTGAAATAATGAATATAAAATTAAATGTTAAAAATAAAGAAAATAAAAAGTTATTCGGTTTTAAAATCTTGCTAGATGTAGTGAGAAATTCGGTAAATTTGGCTACACTGACCCCTGTCTAATTTATCACGCCTGTTATAATCATGTCTCCACGGCATCTATATTGTATTAGTAGTATGGTATTAGTTGTAAACTCGTACAGTAGTCATCACATGCTATCGTTGTGTTGTGTTTTTTTGTATATAAACATTTTTACCTCAAAATTAGTAATCCAAGTAAAAAACAACGAACCTATCTTTTAACAAATATTTAGAAGACGATTACTTTGTTTCCGAAAGTAAGGAGAAATGTATTTGCTTAATATGCAACAGTTTTGTGTCAGTGGCAAAAAAAAAAAAAAAAAAACACAACGTCGAACGTCATTACAAAACCAATTACAGTTCTTATGAGGTTAGTTATCCGCCTAAATTCGAGTTCAAAAACAATTTAATCAACTAAAATCGGGGTTATCTATCTACACAGCAAGTATTTTTTTACCAGCCGTGTAAATAAAAATGTTACTCTTGCTTCCTTTAAAATTTCTCATTTGTTGGCAAAACGAAAAATAATAAATAAATAAAAAACATTCTTAGAAACTGAACTATTGATAATTAAGGAAGCATTTCTCGTTGGAGCCTATTCGTTATTTAAAGGATTTTCTAATAAAGAAAATCCTTTAAATAACGAATAGGCTCCAACGAATAGGCGAGAAATTGTTTCAGCAATACAAGATTTGCCGTTGTCAAACAATACAAGTAGAAGAAGAATCCAGGCGATTTCAACAGATATACAAAGTCAGTTAAAAAATTATTTCGAAGAATGTGAGTATTTCTCATTAGAATTAGACGAGCCAACAGATATATCAGATACAGTGCAATTGGCAGTAATGATAACAATGTTATTCAGTGATTTTAGTGTGAAAGAAGAACTATTAATGTTACTATTAATGCAAGAGCAAACAAGGGGTAAAGATATTTATATCATCTTTAAAAATTACTCAACAGAAATTAATATGCCTATACACAAGTTATCAACAATAACTACTGATGGTGCACCGTCAATGGTAGGCCGCAATAATCGATTATTTTCCCATTGCAAGAAAAATGAATCCTTTCCGAACTTTATGTATTATCACTGCATCATACAGCAAGAATCATCATGTGCCAAAATATTATCCTTTGAACATGTTATGAATGTTGTTGTTAAAATAATTAACAAAATTCGAGTAAATTCTTTATCACACAGATTGTTTATAGCCCCTCTAGAAAAGGACGAATCTTCCCCCAAGCTGACCTTTGTTAAATAAAGGCGAAGAACTTGGCCGATTTTTTGATCTTTTGGAAGAGGTAAAAAATTCCTTATTTCAAAAGGTCAAACATTTGAACTTTAGATAACCTACAATGGTTGATGGCCTTGGCTTTTTTAACTGGCATATGTGAAAAATTGAGCAGTTTAAACCTGAATCTCCAGAAAAATAATTAACATTTATAGAGCTAATAATTTCACCTAATGCATTCAAAGCTAAAATGCAGTTTTGGATAAATAATTTGTGGAAAAATTCTCTTGTACACTTTCCAAGGATGAAAAAAGTGACTGGTGAAAACAATTTAGACTTAACATTATTTATTACTCATCCTAAAAACCTTTTCGAACAGTTTGAAAGTAAATTCCAGAAATTTTCCATTATCGAACCCGTGGCTACAAGTTTTGTAAATCCTTTTACTACGCAAATAGACATTACTGAAACTGCTAAATCCAAAGCAGAACTTCTTTAAGAAGAAACATCAATAATTGAAGATATTTTAGATTTTCAAAATGACATCATGTTAAAATCTCACGATACGGAGGATGAAAACTTTTGGAATTTAGTTGATCATAAAAAATATAATCTTTTGAAAAAAGGGACCTTCAAAATCAAATTCTGTTTTGGTTCCACATATTTATTCCAATCTTTATTTCCCACCATGAATATTATAAAATCAAAAATCAGATCTCAACTTACTAAAGCCAACTGTAAAGATTGTTTACGATTGGGATTATAATTTTACTCTCCCAACTGTGAGAAATTAGCAAATCAAATGCAATGTCAAAGATTGCACTAATTCGGCTTTTATAATAAATATATGTACAAAAAAATGCATGTTATAATAAAAGACAAAATATTTAATTTTTTAAAATCCGATTTGCTCCCGTCACTAGTTTTTCAATCTCGAATGCACTCGCGCCACGAAAATGTTGGGAACCCCTGCTCTAAGGTATCATTTTATTTTTAAATTACTTATTTATATCACAGAAAGTATTTTTACCGATGACAAAATGAAAATATTGTTATTAACCATATATATATATTNGTACGGGAGCAAACACTACTACACGCAGGCAGGTGCCACGCGCTACCTGTTGCAGCAATGGCGTAATAGCGTGTCTATTTCTCACTAGATAATTGTGGCAATAATTAACTGAATACAATATATATATATATATATTAATTATATTACAAAACCATCACAAAACTCGGAAAAGATATGACGAAATACAGACAACAGTTACATCACTTGTTTTCACAATAACATCTTCCTTTCACAGTCACTATACAAAGGGTTCTTCATAAAAAAAAAAACAATTATACATAGCAAACTTATACCACAAACAACAAATCAAACTGTAGAACAATTACATCAATAAATAAATACTCCCAACATTAACAATGATCACATGATCCTTCAGAATTATCAACATATATGAACACACAATATGCGTATATCTTGCCACTCTATTTTCACTGATGCCGATAGTATCAATACATTTTCATTAGCTGAAATGGATTCAGATTAAATTTTTTTTAACTGTGTCCTCCCTGTGAGCACTAAGAGAGCCTCTTTTAGTAAGTCCATTATGGGTGCGGCCAGGCTCACAATGGGGTGGCCGGGTGGTGAGGGACGGGGCTCAACATATCTAGACCGACCACTCCCGAAAATTCCTGCGGATTTATCGACTCATGCGGATTCGAACCCTGGTCTCCTGGGGCGGTGGGCTGCCATCTTGACCGCTCGGCCATCCGGCCGTCTTCAGGTTTAATTCATACGCTTTCCCTTCTTTCCCAGGAAGCACTCACAAAATTTACAGGCACTGACCATGCATTCCCAAAATCAACACTTTTAAATTAGTAGGGAAAACTCTACACTATGTGAACACTTACATATTACCAGATTACAATCATTCTATTTTTACATTCTCAGACATTCACACAGTTCACACAGTAGTCTATTCTGTAGCAGTCACAGTAATGACCTACCATGGAATAAAACTGCATCCACAGACAGAAGCACACAAATTAAAAACACATCAGAAGTCTGCCTGGCAAATAAGAATAAAAACACAAGTAAACAATATTAGACAGCAGCTAGACAGGCTGACACAATATGCTAATAACAAAATAACACAAATTAATAAAACAATTAAAAAACTTTTCAAGAAAATTAAAACATACACAAAGCACGAACAACACAATGTCCACATCGCAGAATACATTGACACACTGAAACAAAACCTTGATTCAAAATCACGACTACTCAAACGTTACAAAATTTACTCTGAACGGAATCAACAAAATAAATTATTTACAATGAAACACTCTTCTACAGACAAATTAATACCAAATCCACTACTGATTTCCAACACAGTGGCATGCCAACTGAAAAAGAACTCACAAATTATTGACTACACTTATTAACTTCACAAATTATTGACTACACTTATTAACTACACAAATTATTGTCTACACTTATTAACTACACAAATTATTGTCTACACTTATTAACTACACAAATTATTGACTACATTTATTAACTACACAAATTATTGGTCTTCTCTTTGATCAACTGCCATCATGCACAATGCTGGAGCAGACTGGATCAAAGAGGAGAGAAAAGACATGTTGAACTCACTTAGTATGCATTGTGTTGAGATAAATACCCACATCCATTGCACAATGCAGAAAGCAAACAACTGGACAACACCTGGTGCAGACATCATTCACAATTTCTGGCACAAAAAATTCACATCCCGGCACCAGAAAGTATCGATATCATCAACAATTTAACAATCTCAAACACATTTTTTTCAATTTACAATATTTTATTTACACATAAATTTATTAAAACTATTTATTACTTTATAGATTTATTCCAAAAACCAAAGAAAGAAGTTTGCTTAAGTAACGTATGCAAATTTTCAGGTAAGATTTATTTTTCTTTATAGACTATTATTTTGTGATCGTTTCTGCCAGCAGTTATATTGTCAATTTCGTACATTTTTGAAACGCAACGATCGAAGCGAGTAAGGTTTCATGGCAATGACTTAAATTGACAAATCGATGACACGTTTTGCGAAATAATAACTTGACCGATTTGAACGAAATTTTGCACACTAATAGAAGTAATAAACTGATGTGTCGTGACTGAGGCCTAATGTTAAAATTTGGTCTCATAATGGAGATATCGGGTCAAAGGTCATACCCATGTTAAGTTAATGGGAAAATTTTGCATTGTAAAACGTAAACAAGCGCGCGATATCCGATATTCGAAATATGGCGAAGTTTTTGCTAAGTACTTCTTACATATCAACTATTTTTTCATTTGTTGCTTGTACGAATTTTGTAAACGTAAATAAGCTTTGTTGTTTGCCTAGTCTTCTTCAGCGACGGTGTTGCTGATAAGAACATATTCACTCGTAGAAATATAGAATTTTACAAATTTTCTCAAAGAATGAAATAACTGATAACCATTGAGTAGTAGTATTACTTCGCTCTGGACATGTTGCAATCGCCAATAATTTTCATCGTTGTTTTTGTAATTAATCTACTGGCTTGATCGGTATTATTCATTTCTACCAAGTGCTCTCTAGCATGATTTTAACGTTTTGTGACCTTGTTTCTCCTTTTGAAATGTATTTTGTGATGTAAGATACAATAGCATGTTCTGAGGCAATAACTTTGAAGTCGTATTAGCACGCCTTGCTATTCCGAAAATCGGTTGTACGTTTTCAGTAGTTCGATATTGCGCTTTGGAATGTAAACAAAAATTCCATTGTCATATTTACACAATTTGTATTCCTCAACTGTTTCAACTAAACCGGCACTTTTTCAAATTTTCTGTACAGTTTTTCAACAAAAGTAAGAATTGACTGCTTATACAGAGTGACAAGCCGCTTTAATTTAACGTTCCCTAATAATCTAATGTGAGTTCGCAAGCCGTCGCTGCTCTTGGATTGGGGGATGAAGTTCTTGTAGTTTTTAATTAACTAAATAGTGGAATTTGTCTAAAACAGCACTTATCAAACCAAAACATCGCAATATTTTAATCAAAGACAATAAGCATTTGAATATTTTTTAAAAAAGTGTTAAGATTTTTTAAAATTTAATATATCATAATTTTTTAAACAAATATCTGCTTAATATAAAACTCTAATAAATTGTTAATGCATTAAAAACATTAAGAAGCATCAGTAACAGTATCTTACTATTTCGATTTGCCACTATAAAGTAAATGACATTACTGTACAATAAAACCTCGGGTTTCGAACGCCTCGCTTTTCGAACAACTCGGTGTACGAACAATATTTTGAACGCTATATTTGCCCGGTTGCCGAACGAACTACTCGGCAAGAACCGACCACAGGTACTTATTAGAAAAACAGACGATCAACTCACTGTACTTCCTATGTTAAAGAAAGTCGATCAATCAACTACGGACTATTCAAAAGTCAGTGGCGCCGAGTCATTTTTATATCGACTCTATATAATGTAATTGCATGCTTCTGCTGAAAGAAAAAGCGACAATGACGTTAAACACGTGACAGCTGCAGTCAATCACCATGATGATTCTTTCTACTTCTAAGCGCACGACACGAACCATCGGTGACATTGTTATATTAATAGCTCTTTTACTTTCCTGGCTGTTATGTATACATAACAAGAGAAAGTATTGGAATTGTGTCAAATTTGACCCTCAAATTTTTTGCAGATCTCCATGTTTAGAGACTCCTGAACCCAAGAATAGTAAAAAAAAAAAAAAAAAAGAAATTACAGATGTAGCAGTCCAACAGACTCCTGGACTGTCCGGACGTTTTCAGACAGTTTGATATCCCAAATAATTCAAAAAAAAAATATAAAGAAAGTCCGTGTGTGTGTGTTGGCGTCTATTTCCTTTAATATCTCAAAACGAGGGAAAATTAAGAAACAAAATTTGGTACGGTAGCTTGTGTACAGGAGCAATTTTCAAGTTTTCAACGTTTAAAAGTGCCCAACTCGAAAAATGTAAAAATCTTGGGAGATCTTTTTTGATCCATTGACATACTTTTATCTGATATATAACAACCAGAAAAGTAAAACGAAAACTAATTCCACAAATACTACGTTCATTTTTCTAACCATTACTAATTTAATAAATTATTTCATTTACGATTATTGAGATGTAACACGGCATTTTTTTATTTGAATTTAGTTTTTAATGTTTCAAATTTTAATAAACAGGGTGTTTTGCTCGAAAGTACTCAATTTTATTTGGCTATAAGAAATTAACGGTTAAATATATATAAAAAAAAGTTAAACGAAAACTTTTTATGAGGGAAACCCTCAGCAAATTTTATTTAAAAAATTATCACATTTTGTAAGTTGTGACGGAAGTTCTTCCATGACCCTCCTCCCATTAACGCTAATCAGTTCATCCTTCTCGAAACTTCTGACACCATTCCCGTATAGAAACGTTGTTCAAGAAACTTTTTCCTACACAATACACTTTTTCAGTGAATTTCTGCTGGTTTGCATCTTTTGCTTGGAAAAAACAAATTACAGAGCAAAGCTCGCACTTGGCTGGAGCGTCAATTTTGGTAGACATGGAATCTTACATGCACGCTAAATAAGCAAAAACGGACTTCTTTTAGCGTAACTCCGACTGAATGTAAAGTACTTTAAAAACTGTTTGCTAACGAGATTTCAGATTTACAGTAGCGTTGTCAGCAAATCTGAAGTTTAAAAAAAATTTCTTCGTATATTTGGCTTCATTCTGGAAGTAGAATTTCGATTTTACTACACATGATTTCATCATTGGTTCAACTTTAACAAACTTTATTAACACATCAAAGCTCAACTTTAGAAACTTATTTATTAACTTAAAATTTGTCAGATTTAAATGTTTATTTTGAAAAGTTTACTTTGTACAGTTACAGTGTAAAAGTTGATCTACTTTAAATTAGTTAAATAGCCAAATTAAGTAAGTTATATTTGATGAATATTTTGTCCGAATTACGCAAATCCAAAATGGTGAAATAAAAATAATCCCGAAACGGTATTTGAACCTCTACTACTCATCGATAGATCGGATAATATCTCAAAAAAATAAATTCCGCACTTTTCATTTCAGTTTAGCTAAGGATTTGGATTCGATTATTTTATACTATACTGTATATGCTGCCTTGAAATTTCTCTATAAGGCCATTGACGTGTAATGATGTAACTATCCAACAAGATTGTGTTATCACTGCATATGTCTACATGCGCTGTATACGAGGTATTATACGTCATTAGCCATAACGAAATTTCACTGAATTAAAGAACCTTCATTATACTCTGCGGCAATGCTTTTTGTTTTGTATAGTATAACATAAATTTTAACAATATAAATAGTAAATGATTTACATATCAACGGTTATTATTTATTAATCAGAATATCAAACAATAAAATTAAAATATGTACTACTAATCATTTTTTAAATTTTATATCTAGTGCTTCATAGTAAAACTATATTTCACATTTGTTCTGCCATAGTATTATTTATGTTTCAATTTCTGTAAGAAGTGTTGAAGTTCTGTAAAAGTTAAAATTGATACACTAAAATAGATGAAAAAAATTTAAATTTTTAAAAAATATTTATGAATACAAACCGTAATAAAAATAGAATATTGCAATATAGTTATATAAAATTGAATCTGAATAAATCTAATAAATTTTGTTTAGAGAAGTCTTAATAATTTCAGCTGGTTCTATTCTAACAAATATGGACTTCACCGTAGATCCATGTGACAACTTTTATGAATTTTCATGCGGATCTTATTTGAAATACGAAAATATTTTCGACGACGATATTCGTAGTTTCACAAACTTAAAGCATTATATTATGTATTTAGAAAAAGGTAAATAATATTTTATTTTACATATTAATTTTCATAAGTCTAATAATAATTTTCATATACTACAAATGCAAATTCAGAACAGTTGGAGAAACCAGAAAATTTCAATGATCCAGCATTCGTTAAAAAAGTAAAGAAATATTTTAAGTCCTGTTTAAATAAACGTATGTATTACATTGATTTTGAATAAGTAATTAAATGAGAATAATTAATATCCTCTGCTTAAATTACAGCTAGCGACGTGAAACAGATTATTCATGAAATTTTAAGTGCAGTTAACTTGAATGGTTGGCCCCTTTCTGATAATGATAATTCAAAATCAACAATAGAGGAAGTTATGGCACTAGCATATGCGTACCAAAATCATGGACACGTGTTTGGATTACGTAAACGTCAAAACAGCTCTTCCATAACTGTAATTTTTAAATAATTTATAGTAATTTACATATTTATAAAATCAGTTGTTTATTTTATAAATTATTACTCGTACAATTACACATTTTCAAATTTACACAACACTTAATACGAGTAATTTAACATTTTTTTTTTTGTGTGAGAAATATTCTTTCTTCACTCCAATCAAACTTCACTTTAATGGCTGTGGTTCAATTGTTTTAACTTTTTAAAATTAACTAAAGAAGTCGTTACAAAATTAACGGAAATTAATAAATATAAAATAAGAATTGATTCATAGAAATATTAATTAATATTTACATAACGATAACTTATAAACTTGTAAACATTTAATACAGTAGAACCTCGAAAACTCGGCCTAATGTGGACCGAAGGGTGGCCGAGTTTGTGAAAATGCCGGGTTATCGAGAATGGGGTTAAAAAAAGATAAGTATGCGTGTTTCCTCAGAAAATGGTGTACTGTACTTGTATGTATTGTTTGCTGGAGAATACAACAGAGAATAAACTGCCAAATACCCTTAAACAAAGGAAAAGTACGTACTTTATGAAGGCATAGAGTCTTTACTACATGAAAATGAAAATTAATGAATACACTGTGTAAGTAATTTACCTGATAAGGCAGACCTCAGAAAAATAGTTTATGAGAGCTTTTACACTTTTATAAAGCTGTCTATAATGAAAATTAATTAACTAAGGATTTTTTGCCCTGCCAGGGTGTGGCCGAGTTATCCGGAGTGCCGGGTTATCGAGAGCCGAGTTTTCGAGGTTCTACTGTAATTGCATAAAGAAATTAAGAAGCTTCAAAAGCAATATAAATTGTTTTAAGCCTGTGTATTTCGAATGTTTTAGGAACAAAAAATTCGTTATAGACAGGTTTCGAGAATTTAGAAGTTTTTACACAGTAAACAGTATTAGGTTTGATTGGAAGTTTAATATTGTATCAATGCAATAGCAAGTACAGTATATATCTGTATTAGGTATAAATAAAACATTTTTGACAAAGCTTAACAGAAATAGTTCTTCAATAATTTCTGATGCCCGATTTTTTTCAACCAATAAAACGCAAGCCAAACTTGTAGCCAATCAGAAAAAAGAAGTGTTAATTGCCATTACAGTATAAACTCTATTGCAAAAGATGTTTCTCAACTGCAATTTATACTATCAAAATGTAGTCGCTCAGCTTTGAATTTTTAATTGACCGTTCAGTCCATATATTGAGATATAGAGGTTTTGGAAGAAAAATATTTGAGTTAAACATCGGAAATATATTAAATTCAGGCTGAAAATGAAGGGAAAAAATTAATTTCGAAATAAAAATGTTTACATATATACAGGTTAAACTGTATTTCAAAAAGTTTAATCCATAGTTTATGATTTCAATAAAAACTCAAGTTACATTGATTTAAAAAAAAATTAAATCCAGCAACAAGTTGCATTACTTTTCCGGCTTTACAAGGAAAATTTGCAACATGTTTTTTTGTCGAACTACATTTGCCAAAGGTTATGCTTCATACTTCATACTGCTTCATACTTCGCCCCCTCTTGTAGAAAAATTTCCTAAGACAATATCTAAATCTACTAGGTATGTATTATTTTTCAGGCTGCTATATATAAGATTAAAAGTATGGGTTATTGAGAAATTTACTATCAGCCAATGACATGCTATGAATGGATACTGAATGGGATGCAAAGATATAGATCAGGAGTGGCCAACCTGCGGCTCGCGAGCCACATGCGGCTCTTTGAAGGATTATTTGTGGCTCTCGATAAATGTACCCGAGTTCCCTTTTCATTTTCGTGTTATTATATTTTTAAAAATTATTATTGTTCCGTATGTGTTTCGAAATGTCTTTTAAATTACTAACAACAAATATGAAAGACTAAGTGCAACGTTGTAACAAATTTCATTTCCGTCCAAGTTAAGAATGATATGACTCATCGAAAACTGCGCGAACGAACATAAACAGTGGCGTAATCGTCTGTTATCGACCGACTCCAGACCGATTTTGAATTTATAAACTGTCATTGCAACGGACAGTTGACATTGTGCTCTGGAGGTAACAATTTGTATCACTCTTGCTACGGATATAATTTGTAATCTGGAATTTTTTGCATACCTTTTTAATACGTATTTAATTGCGGCTCGCGAAAAATTTCAAATTTTGAAAAATGGCTAGGACTACCAAGGAGCTTGGCCGCCCTGGATATAGATTCACAAAATACTAGTTACTGCTGACCATTTTTTTCAGATTTGCGAGATGTTTCTTATCAAAGTCCACATCTCTAGCTGATTATATAGATTATATACAGTAAATAAGGTGTTATAAGCAGGTACTCCAAAGCCTCTAACCACGGACAGAGCTCGTACATTTACATCCTGTAGGTTTAGACGATAGTTTCAGAGGAATGTTATAAATTGTCAGTTAACAAATACTTAAATATTATAATTCATTGGGTTAAAAGAGAGAATAGCGAGGTTGAGGCCGAAGTTTTAAACGCGAAAACGCGTACGTCGGACGTTTAGCGCCGCTTTCCTGTAAGCCTAGAAGTTTGACAATGGTGTTTGGAATGTCGGGCATAATTCCACTGACTATGCAAACACCATTGTAAAATTTATAGGCTTACAGAAAAGTGGCGCTGAACGTCCGACGTACAAGTTTTCGAGTTTAAAACTTCGGCCTCAACCTCGCTATTGAATGCTAACTTTTACTCTAGTCTAATAATCAAATATGCAAAGAATTCCTAAAATACCTAAACTTAAATGCCAAGGAAAGTAATACAATCAGACTCCTCATAATATAACAGATGTTTCTCAATGTTGATGTATGGTGAAATTGCTGCTACCTTTAATAATTCTAATTATTTTTTTCTTGATAAAGTTCGTAAAACAAATAGCTCACAAAAAGAACAGTGAGTTAGATATAATAATCAACACCAACTTCTAAGATTTAAGGTAGAAGATAAAATTCTTTAGCAGATCATTTTCCAATCTAATCAAGGAAAACTTTCTTAATTATCATGATATATTGAAAAATAATCTCACCTCGTAATGCTGAAATAGATAGACCAATTCAATCTTAAATAAAATAACAGGCATTGTAAATACAGTAGACCCCTATGAAACGGGTTCATATAGTTCGTATTCCTATATGATGGCGAAAAAATTGCGACAGTATTCGTACAAACACGCTAAAAAAACTCCTATAATTCGGTAAAACGTCATCGTCGACTCGTGTCACGACAGGATTGGTCGAATCTAGACCAATAGCGGATATTGTATAAACCGTTGAGTTTAAACGAGCAGCGGACCTACTAAAAGCCATTTATTATTTAACGGCCATAAAAATGTTATTTATATTAATGATGGCTCCAAAGTTCAGCGAATTTTTCGCAAAAAAATAATTTATCAGGAAGCATGCGAGCGTCATTTGATGACAAGCTCCACGACGAAAACAAGCTTAAGCAATGGTGTCGTCGAACGGTGAGTACTCGGTAAGTAATCCTACAAGTTTTGTTTATAGCATAGTTTATATGGATTATTCCCAAAAAATTATACGTATTTTGGAAATGTTGAGTCGAATTAGTCTAGAATCGATTAATTTTATGGAAGGAAACCTTTCAAAAAGCGTAGTCCATAAACTGCATATATGCCGGGCTGCGATTGGCTCATGTATTTAAGGACTCATAGAAAATGGATTCATAAAAACCGGAACGTATCTACCGTGTTATAGGGGGTCGACACAAAATTACTCCATATTTTATCCCTTTCAATTTTAAGCTTACTTCAGATAAAGATCGCCCTAAACCAACCGCTCTCAGGTTCGCTAAATTCGTCTTCATCACAGAAATCTTTGTCTTGATAAATTTTTTATAAATATTATGTTCCTTATGTTAAATTTTATTGTTTTGTACATTATTGTCCTCTAGGTGACGGGGTGACAATAGACGAACCACAAAGAGCAATGAAAGAAAGTGCAGTGTGTTTTGTAACCAAAGCTCTGCCTTTTATCTCCGTCTTTTATATCCTCACTGTGCGTAATTATTTAGTTAACGCAAGTAAGAAACACAACATATATATAGAACTGTATACAGTATGTTTTAATAACGTACTCTTCGACTCTACTTTCACAATTAATTTACACTAACACCAGTGTTTTCATGAGTTATTCTTAACCTTCATTTGCTTTTTTCTTTTGGCTATATCTGACTTAGATTGTTCTATTTGTCTATCTTTGGCACTGCGTCAGCCTCTACCAACCATTCATTATTTCGCTACATAGGCATGAGATTACACATTTTCATACACCCATTCCACGTTGAGCAAGCTTGCACAGAGCTTGTATGGTCTTTTTTTCTTCAATAGCAGGCTTCTTATGCTGTTATTTTTTAACAAATTCATAGAACTTTTCTTTATTAAAAAGTCCTACAATGAGTTGCGTAACTTTCCGGCTGTAATGAGACTTTATTTAAAAAATAACTATTACACCAGGATTGTTCAAGGTTAGGCGAGACTTTTATTTCTACAGACCGAAAGGAATGTCCAAAACATGTATAAACTACGTCAATTTTTTGAAATACTCTCCATCTGTATGTAGAAACTGTTCCCAGCAGCCGGGTAGGTTCCTGATACGTTTCTCGTAGATAGAAATGGGCTGACGTCGTAGCCAGCACAAGATAACTTGCCGCAGTTCATCACGTCTGGAATTTCGCTCTTTCCAAGTGCTCTTTAGGGGACCCAAACAAATGGTAATCGGTAGGAGCTAATCACCTTCGATACGAAACCAATTCAGAAGCTGCTCACATGTCTCCTTACGTACTCATTTCTGTTCACGTGTCAGCTGTCGTGAAACCCATCTGCCACACATCTTGAAGAACAGTAAGTGCTCGTGGATGATTTTCTCAACACTACCTACACTAATGGACACTTTGTCTGCAATTTGTCTCACGGTTACCAGCCGGTTCTTCAGGATAACTTACTCAACTTGTGCGATATTCACTGGCAGTTACTGCAGTTGGACGAACATGCTCACGTGTTTCATTTGTCACCAGCTCTCATCCTTCACCAAATTGTCGATACCATTCGTACACTCTTGCCTACGGTAGCGTTTGTTCCTCATATTGTGTACTCAATCTTCTGAAAACTTCAGCAGATTTAACCTTTTCCTTCACGAGAAATTTGATTACGCACCGCTGTTCAACCGTTGCAAACACATTACTTTCCGCTATGATTGCTAAAACTGCTATGCATGTGCAAAATACGTCATGCTCGCTACTGAAATCTTCGGATGGATAATGTTACTCCCTCTACTTTGCTACAATTACTTTTCGAAATTATAGGCCCAAAAGTCTCGTTTAACCTTGAACGACCCCTGTATTATTAATCATAATAAAAAGAATTGTATTTGGTGTCGTCTGTTATGAGATTTTGGTATAAAAACTTTTTATATTATTAATTATTATAAAATGGTAAAAGGCTAAGTTTTATGGGTTGAGACGATTTTTATAAAATATTGCAAATGCTAACAACAAGTAAAACCTTCTATAAATTCGACTGACTCCAGAAATGACACCACCTATCTCTCTACCCTCTTGTTCTTTAACCGTAAAAATTTAATAGTATTAATGTCCCTTATACACAAGTTATCCTGCCGAATTTCGTTTCTTAATCATTACCCTGTTCTGAGATATTAAAATAAATATACACCAACACATATACTTACATATCCATGGAATTTTTTCCCTTTTTTTTTACTTATTTTGGATTCAGGTGTCTCAAAACGTGGAAATTTGCAAAATAAATCCCGAAGAGTTAAATATGACACGATTCTAATACTTTCTCTTGTTATGTATAGGCCTACATGACAATCGGGAAAGTAAAAGCACTCTTAAATGTTTATTCGTTTTATTAGTAAAAAATATAAAACAAAAATAAATTCTTTCTGTTTGTAAACAAAATACAAAGTTAGCATTTTATCATTATCAGTCTTTGCAAACATTATTGAATAACCCATGGATCACTTTCAGTGTTTCAGCATCAGAAAAATGAAATTATGTCTTCTCGATCGCTACGTTTTAAAAAGTGATGTCAATCTTTTGCTACCTCTCATTGTCTCTATTATATTCAAAGGACCACTCTGATTGGTTACCATTATAAGCTTACTATTTAACTTAAACTTATAACAGGAGAATTTGCTTGTACTTACAATTTTATAACTGTTCATCTGTTCTTATTATAAAATACTTAAGATCTTTGCAACACTCTTCTTCCATCAGAAAAAAAAAACTTCAAATGGCAACATGGGAATCGATGAATCGTAACGAAATTTTTTAACAAGTAGCAAAGCGAAAGGGATGGCCCGGTGGAGAGCGAAGCAAGGGAAGTTAATTCGAAGAAGCAAAGTCACACTAGTAAGATTATAAAAGCGCAATCACAAACTCTTCATAAATAAGTTAATTTTTTCAGTTAGGCTTAAATTGAAATGGAGGTACGGAAAACAACTACAATGTTATAACCTTTTCACTTAGCCACTATCATAAAATTATGTTTCTGATACGCTGTCTTGTTTTCTTCTCAAGATAGGAGNTATAACGGGAGACTTCGCTTATACTTTTTATAACGTTATAACTGTTCATAAGGTTATAACGAAACATTTTACCAAATTACCAATTAATTTCCATTAATGAGTTAATGATTCACAGAATTGAAACGAGAGTAAGGAAAACAGCTACACTTTTATAAACTTTCCTGTTTGCCGCTATCATAAAATTATGTTTCTGATACGCTGTCTTGTTTTTTTCCCAAGATGAAAGATTAACTAAGTTAATAAATAAAAATTAATATAAAATTTCATATTTATAAGTAATTGGCACTATAGAGGAAAAGGTGGTATTATTGCAACCCTGCAGATATTTTGAAACTCCTCCATTTCAAACTGATAATAAAGACGAACTGTAGCGGATTGTGGCTGAACAGCACTAAGCAGACATCCATAGCGAAGGGAAAACTTGTTTCACTTCAGTTAAACAGTTGTCCGTAGTGAATCAGCATATTTGTGTTTTTCGAAATTCGAAAGTTTTGAATTGTAAGTGAATTTGATTATTTCTAAAATATAAATCGTGTAGTTGTAGGTTCACTGGTGCATGTATTCTGTTCCAGAGACTTAGGGGTACATATTAATCTGTGTGATGTTGGCGTTTTTTAAAATTTGATCTTGACAGATATAAGTTAATTCAAGATGGCAATTCCATTGATGCTTTTAATATGGAACCCAACTCCTCTGGAAACTCAACTCCTTCAAACTCTCTATTCGCAAGCAGAGATTCGTCCGGAGCAATTTGTGAAAAAGACACTAGGTAGAATGACAATTCTTTCCGAAAATATCGAAAAAGAGCTGCTGGAATATATATCTTTGATGGAGGTCATATTGTTCTATTATAAAAGCATTTTTTTCGATAAAATACATTGGAGTAAATAATTTTGTAATTATTTAACATTCTTTGTATTTCCTATTTGTTTTTGGATACATTAAAGCATTTTTTGAAAACATACAGTAAAGTTCCATATTACCACCCGGTTTTCCCTAAGCCTATTTTCTGACTTTTTGTACAGAAGCCTTTAAAAACCATACTATAGTTACACTAGCGAAAATTCCAATTAGGAACATTTAGTTTAATAGTTACCAGTACTTTTCGCACAAATGTGAGTGTAGTTATGATTCCTTATTTACAATTCACTATAATGTAATTGGGGTTGCATAATACCACCTTCTCCTCTACTAATTTATGCAATGTAATTTATATAATATTGTAAACATTTCATTCATTTGTAGATAAGTCGTGGATCTGATTTTGTTAAGTCATCTGTGTTATTGAATACGACTGAAGAAAAGTGGATTAAGTTAAAAAAGAAATATGTAAATTTGATAGACTACGTACTTTCTGAATTAGATTTGTCAACAGAAAATAAGAACAAGCATATTGATGAAATAATCGACTTTCAAACATCTTTAGCAAAAGTAAATAAAAATATTGATATTTGTTAACTTAAAAATAGAATCCATACTTAAAAATAATTTAAAATATTTGTAGATTATAGATAAAGATTATAATGATAATTCAACAAATACAACTATATCAGAATTACATTCGAAGTGTTCACAGGTACTGTACAACATATTTGTAAATAGCAATAGCTTTATGCTTATTAACCATAGTTATATATTATATACTTTAATTTCAGATTGATTGGAAAAATATGTTAATGGTTTTATTTGAATATCTTCAACATCCGGAAGAATATAATGATCAAGTTACTATAGAGGTAAACAGCATGGACTTTCTGACTGATTTATGTGAACTTATTGGAAACACTAAAAATAAAAGGTGAGAACATTTAATTATTATCATGAAAATATTACACGGTATATAAATGTGAGATAAGCATAGGGCCAGAGGGACGATCCCTAATGACCACTTACACTGCACAGGTTGTTAAAATCGGATCTCTGCGTCGGTGGATGGCTTAGGAGGGCAAAAAAGTGAGTGGGGAGGTCGCGATTACGTGGACAGGTGTCTTCACGGGAAAAGGATTGACATGTCGACAGATTAACAAACAGAACATTTATTGATATTTATTTGTATGTTAACTTTAGTTAAATATATACTTTACTGTTAACTTTAGTTAAAGTTAACATACAAAATTCGATTACAAGTCTATCTGACTAAACGCTACTCGATTAAATGCGATAACATGCTACACGGGGGAGCGAGTTCACAAAGTTCTAACAAATATCGCTATGTGTAAGATTGGAGGGGATGGCTGAGGTATGGCACACACACACACAAACACAAATCTTTTAATGTCGTAACCAACGTTACATCACTGGTTCCGCAGTAAACACAGCCAGTTTACAGATGTTTTAGGTATTGCAAATGTTATAGTTACATTTACAAAGTGTAAGAGTAATATGCATTATAGCGTAAAGTATTACAATGAGAGGTTGGTATATATTTTATAAGTTTACAATTAGTAGATTAAGATTAAGTATATATGTGTTGTTTCATATAGAAAAGAGAATTGTTATAATAAGCGAGACAAATTTATCGCGTGTTGGGAAGGGCACGACAATGTGTATGAAAGTTATACAAGGAGGTATGGCATCATCATCATCATCATCATCATCAAATAATCTTTATTACTTAGCCTGATACCGCTTGGCATAATCAGGTAAGAAAATACAGAAATAATTACATTGATGTTACATGCAGATAACACTTGCAAAATAATCCGAAAACAAATGTTGGGAAAGAAGTAAAGAAAAAATAAAATAATAAATAAAAAAATAAAAAAAACAAACAAGCAAAAAAATGAAAATAATAAAGTAAGTAGATGCCATTAACAGTAAGTGAGCTAAAGTAGATAAATATGCGTATATACATTGACACAGCTGCATTACCTTACACATTTAAGTGTTATCACAGTTCATGGTAGGGTATTATTCATGCTATTATATATGGAGTCGCACCATCTAATGGCCGAAAGAATGGCCCAGAGCACCAATATACAGTCGACCCCCCTATAACACTGTTGATTATTTCGTTTTATATGAGTTTCATGTTGTACGAGTCACTTAGATTTTACAAATACGTGTACCGGGCTGTGAATGGCTTACGTATTTGTAAAATCTAAGTGACTCGTAAAACATGGAATTCATATAAAACGAAATAATCAACAGTGTTATGGGGGGTCGACTGTACTTACACAAAACATAGTTCCATCAAAAAATTCATTTACAGGAGTTCTTACATTATGAAATAATTAACAATAAACAACGCGGAAAACGTTATAAACATTCAAAACAATTTGTTTTTTTACCAGTTTGACGGCTTGCCTTTCTTGTTCTTGATAAACAATATTTCACGCTTAGCAATCGTGAACAAACTGAATTTTCCGCTCCTACACGATTACAATCTTTATTACTGTGTATTTACTTTTAGTTTTCATAAGTTTAAAATAAAGTATTATTATGTTGCTTAATATGAATAATAACATAATATAAGGATTTCAGTAAATGAAGTTTTGATGGAACAATATTGTCTGTAAATATATTGTTGTTCTTTGGTAGTTCACCTATGATATTGGCCCTTATGACGTCCTGTCGAACACGTCACTTTTAACTTGATTGAGATGGATAGCAACGCCTCCTAAAGAGAAAGCAGTAGCAGTAACATGTGACGTCACGACTTGTCCTTCCAAGGTTGTAACGATCAGTTTTTCGTCCTAAACTTCGTTTAACTCTTTTAAAAGATGTTTCTTGACGTTTTAAAAATTATGTCACTAAAGATTATCATTTAGACTATTATTTTAAAGGTTTTTTTTTTAAATTTCACTTTTCAATCCAAATAGTTACAAAAACTCCATACAATATTTGAATAGAAAAAATTACTAGTTAATGGTACAGTTTAAGATTTATGAATTTCAAATCATATTACAGTAAAGATGTAGTCAATCAATTTACTTAGTTTATAATTTTTAAATGTTTGAAGCTTACGTTTCTTTGTGATGCTCTTAGCAACAAAATTATCATTTTTAAGTTTATAATAATTGTTCGAAAAATATTTGTGGATGAACAAAGTTTATGCTTTACGACTACTGTTGAGTCATGTATATTGCATTCTTTGTCTTTGAGTAAGCTATCAGTTAAATGACAAACAACACCTCTCTGATTGCTGTTTCAAAAATTCTATTTGAAATTCTGCTAAAAGCAACTTCTTAACAGCAATATATGACAATATTCAGTACATCAGGTTGAGGTTAAAAATTCCTCATTACTGTAGTCAAAACTCTTTATCCACTTATTTGAATCCTTTTTAGACAAATCAGTGGCTATTTTCTTACGAAGTGTAATATTGCATTTACAAACACATTTGAAATTTGAGTTTTTTAATAATATTAAGACAACAGTAACCTGTGATGTAAGTTAAAATAGGTATGTCATCATTAATGTTAACAAAATAATTTTCATCGATGACTGCTGTCACTCTTTCTGAAAAAAACTAGATGTTTCGATGGTCACACCTTCATCTGAAACTTGATCATTTACATGGAGATTAGCAGAAATATTATTTAACTTATTTGATTTAATTAGTTTTGGAATTACATTTTCTAATCGTAACTTGCATTCATTTTCATAAACTTTTCTAATAGATACGTTGTACTGAGCTTGATAATTGCATGTATTTGCCAAATCTGCATTCTAGATTGTCAGTCTGCGCCTTACAATGTAGAAAATATTTTTTTGATTCACTAACACAAGATGTGTTTCTATTTCAACACTTGGCGGTATTCCATCTTTATTTAGTTGATATGGTTACAAGTACAATAACACGTTTCGGGCACTGCCCTCCTCAGTCAACATAAACACTTTTTCAACACAGAAAGCATATACATTCATAGAACTGGCGTAATATTATATATCCGGTTTTGGTCTTGGGGCGTTCATTAAAATTTCGGTTGTTCTTTTTACAATGGTGTTATTAAAATCTTTGTGTATAAGTAAAACAGGTTTACCAGCGTAAATTTTACTCGCTCCTGGGAAATCTTAAAAGATATTACAATGGTTCAAAGGTTAAAATTTCTTTAAATGGGTTCTAGTATTTCCAGCACACAAATTAAAAGATTACAGGTTACTAGACACAAAGTGTTGAAATAGAAACACACCTTGTGTTAGTAAATCAAAGAAATTAAGACAACACGCTTTCAGAAGATTTAATAAGGTAGAAAACAATAAAATTTTAATTCCACAATACAGTATCGAACCAATTCAATTAAGCCATAAATGCTGTGGTGTAATGCAGAATATGTTTTTCTTGTCAACGTGCTAGTTTTCAGACCAAGAATCTCCATTTTTCTAACCAATCAAGTAGTTTGTTAAGGTACACATATTTAAAGTCATTGTTTCCAACTACGATGCGCATTTTGTAACTTTTAATTTAAAAACGCCTGATCACAACTAGCCGTAAGCCGCAGTAAAAATTTTTGAACATTTTCTGCCGATAAAAATTTTTTTCAAGTCAATTATAGGTTCGGTTAGGCTCTGAATGAGAGTGGCATATTCGAAACAGACCACCCATTAGAAAATTTCTGAGGTTCGTTGACCGTGTAAATTCGATCTGCAGTCCCTGAGAGCAATAGGCTGTCTTCTTAACAGCCTTAGCCGGTTTAATATCATAATTTACTTGAAAAATTATAGAAAATATAATTAACACCAATAAAATTCATTTAATACTAAGTAAATAATTTAATTAAACATTTGTACAGTACGTTTATTGATATAAATTTTTCTAAACAGAATAATTTATAACTTCTATGTATGGATTATTATTGTTCGTTATTTGCCTCGCATCGACAACAATTTTAGAAAACTTGTAATCGATACGAAAGAAGCTTTAAATATGTATGAGGAATTTTTTGAATCGGATTTGGATATGCGTAAACTGAAATGGAAATCTTGCATTCAAGATATGGATCTCTATACAAAATTAGGAGCAAATTTCGTAATGATAAAATCCATAACTCGAAAAGACAACCTTAATGAGGTAGATTAGTATTTTTATCTATACAATTTTATAGTACAGTAGATTCCCGGAAACTCGACTCTCCACTCGACATTCCATAACACTCGTAGTGTCGTTCAAAAGAAAAAAATGTGTGTAATCTAATCTTTATTTCTATAACTTAACACTCGGATCAATTAAGTTATCGTTCTTCACTAGCAACATTTGATAATGGCATAAATTCCACGTGTTATCAAAAAATATAATCCTTTTACAACGTGCCACTACAAAAAACCGCGAGGCAAATGTTACTAACTGGAAAGTAACCACTAAGTAGCCAATATTATTGTAATTAAAATTTAACTACAAACAGTGTGACTAATGGTATGTAGTTAATACGTATATGAATTTACACATATAGGGGAAGGTGGGGCAAGATGAAAACGTAAAGGTTTGAAAAGTCATAAGATGGCAACCACTTTAATGAGAACAATAATTTTTTATTCTCAGCATCTACAACATTTGGTAATATATAATGCAAAATTTAATTTTTGAAAAACGTTTTTAAAAACAAGAAAATTTAATATTTTAAAATTATATGTAAATGCACCATCTTGCCCCACCCGTGGGGTAAGATGGGAAATATTTTTATATACAAGAAGGACAATGGTTAACCTGTCGTTTTCTTCAATATTGGCACAAGAACAGTGTGCCCATTTATCACAACGGCTACATTTAGCCCAACTCTCTGTAGATACAGAGTATAACTTTCCATTATAGAGGTATTCAGTGTCATTTGTCTTTTGTTTCTTGTTAGGTTTATCCTTGCTGAAGGGCCTGTTTGTCGTCTCTGCAACAATAAAGTCTGCCTCCAAAAATACTTCTGGATTCATAGGCCATATTCATGGTCAACCTGGGGCTAGACGGGTACCCCATCTTGTTCCTAATGTACACTTTTCATACTGACTGCAAACACAGGTAAATCTCATTTCAAAACTAAACAATTACAGTCTTAAAGATTACTTCGAATACCATAATATCTTCATCTAACAGGTAATGTAAAAGTTCACGATGATACTTACTTTGTAGAAACTTTTTAGCAGGCATAAAATTAGATAAAGTACAGTAGACCCCCTATAACAAGGTAGATACGTTTCGTGTTTTATGAAATTCATATTCTACGAGTCCTTAAATACATGAGCCAATCTCATCTCGGCACGTATGCAGTTTACGGACTACGGCTGTTTCTTCCATAAAATTAATAGATTCTAGAAAAATTTGACTCAGCATTTCCAAAACACGCATAATTTTTTGGGTATAATCCATATAAACTATGCTATAAACAAAACTTGTAGGATTACTTACCGAGTACTCACCGTTCGACGACGCCATTGCTTAAGCTTGTTTTCGTCGTGGAGCATGCCATCGAACGGCAGGCGCGTGTTTTCTGATAAATTATTTTTCTGCGAAAAATGTTCTAAACTTTGGAGACATCATTAATATAAATATAATTTTTATGGCCGTTAAATAATAAATGGTTTTTAGTAGGACCGCTGCTTGTTTAAACTCAACGTTCTGTGCAATATCCACTATTGATGTAGATTCGACCAATCCTATCGCGGCACGAGTCGGCGATTACGTTTTACCGTATCATACGAGTCTTTTTAGCGTGTTTATACGAATACGATCACAATTTTTTCGCCGTTATATACGAATCCGTATCATATGAACCCGTTTTATAGGGAGGTCTACTGTATTGCTGAAATATGAAAAACCGTCTTACTTCCAAACAAAGAGAGCGATTTGGACGTTCTCTCGCTCCATGATCTCTTTCGAGGTGGACATTTAGTTCCCCAAATAACAGCTAGATAAAAGCACATTAACCACAAATAAACAGACGTCCTCATTTCACCCCATGACTTCATCTTGTAACATCTTTCCCTAATACCTTTACGAAAATTTCGCTATACCGCAAAACTCAACTTTTTTGTCCATATTAAGTCGAGTTTGTGAGACTCTACTGTAATCAAGTATTTTATAAACTACATTAATTATGATATAATTTTAGGTTCGGTTAGGCTCTGAATGAGAGTGGCATATTCGAAACAGACCACCCATTAGAAAATTTCTGAGGTTCGTTGACCGTGTAGATTCGATCTGCAGTCCCTGAGAACAATAGGCTGTCTTCTTAACAGCCTTAGCCGGTTTAATATCATAATTTACTTGAAAAATTATAGAAAATATAATTANGAAACAGATACGTGAAACGATGGATGAAATATTTTCGGAAGAAGATTGGTTCGACAGTTACAGCAAAAATCTCACCAGAATTAAAGTAAAATTTTTAATTTTAGTTTAATTTTTCTTCTCAATAATTTTTATACGATATTTACATAAATAATTGAGAAGTACAGTGGGTGATCGGTTAACGAACATAATCCGTCCCAAGACTTTGTTCGTTAACCGATCACTCATTGTACTATTAAAAGAAGTAATTTGTCATTTTACTGAAATTATTGTATTATAGCTACGAAGTAACTACTACAAAATACAAAGTAAGAAAGTGGACATGACTACAGTAGTGACATGGATCATTTGAAATGATAGATGTATTATTTTTTCTTTCAATTTTTGGACTCTATCGGCAGTAAGAAGGCCTTTATAATGAAGTCCATTGTGGGTTCGGCCATTTTCACAATGGAGTGGCCGAATAATGGGCGGGCTTGATTAAAAGGAACGGACTACCTTCGAAAAATTAGTTTTGTGGGTATTTTTTTATTTGACCGGATTTGTTTCCGGGTCCGCCAGAGCGGTTCACTGATACATTAACCTCTTGGCCGTCAGATGCTTTATGCTAAGATAACTATCATACAATGTTACTGCATCAAGTTGAGCCACAAAATAGTACTGTGTTTGTTAGTGATAATAAACATTAACTAGATAAATTCTATGAGCTCTCTATGCAATTTATTTTTTTAATAATTTCCACTTTAATTAATTTACTTAAAATTGCAAACTGATCAGGATAAAAAAAATTAATGCAAAAGAAAAATTAACAGTGAAAGTTCACTAATCTGGCACGAGACCGTAGTAATGCCAGATAATCGAAACAGTCAGATTACCGGATATTATCGGACTTTTTCAAAATTCGATGTTATATGCGATCCAAACATTTCGGATTATTGTAAAATTACTGTATTATTGCCTGGTGTTGTATGTGTCCGATTTGGACCCACCAGTGGCCTAGCGGTTCCATTACCAGAATACTGGGAGTTCAGTCGGGTTCACCTCGCCAGGAATGGCTGGTACGTTGAATAGGGGACCAGTTACACTTAAAATGACCTCCCAGAAGGCATTTTTCTAGGCAGATCGCCCAAGTATTGCGTTACCATAACTTAACTTAACAAACAAACAAGTGTCTGATTTGTTTACTTATAATCATACAGTGTATGACTATAATATATTATAATTGAAAAATGTAATAGGCACATTACTGCACAAAAATAAATATTCACAATGATTATACTGTGCACACAATACTTATTTTCCGGACATGTACTGTACTTTATAGTCCCGAGATAAAGAAGGAACACAAGAGAAATGTGGATTTTGTGGATGTAAAAAAAACATTAAACAAGTGATAGGATGACCACCTGCACTCAGGTTAGGTTGACATAAAAGTATGCTTATGTGAGTAACCGAAGTAGTAATTGATCGGAAGTTTTAGTTTAAATTAGGAAGATGATCTGAGGAAAGGGAGATTGTGGAGGAAGGCAAGAAGCTGACTACACTAGGATCTCGTCTACCCAGTAAGCCATTGAGAATGTAGAGAAATAGCGCACTCCCGTGGGAGAGTGAAGACAGAACCGATCTGATCCACACGTTAGAAGCTTATCGAGGAAAAATCTGATTTCTTAGAGTTGACCCGGATTGTTCCAAATCATCCCGGACAATTAGTTTCTTACGCATTAAATGTCTTAACGTGTAAATTGTAATACATATTTTGTAAATAATGTATAAATATAAAAATGAATTAGATATTGTTTATTGTTTTGTCCTTTATATAAATCTTTATTTTTAAACCGATCTGGACCAAAAGTTTGTATAAGTATTACTTGGACCATAGATTCGATACTAAGCTATATACATTGGTGCCTCCTATAACGTACTTAATCCGTTCCAGGTGCACGTCCGTTAAGTGAAAAGTCCGTTATACGAAACGCATTTTTCCATAGAAATACATGTTAAAACATATAATTCGTTCCGCAGCAGAAAATAACCGTACTGTACCATAAAAAAATGAAAATGGAGCAGTCACCAATTATGCCGGGTAATCAGATGTTGTGAGGAGGAGGTGGAGGAACACTTTCTTTACACATTCATACAGATACAGACTTTTTACACATTGCAGCAAGTCTCTTTTTATTGTTTTTTAATCGGAGTCATATTCAAGAAAGGCTACCAGAGCTTGCAGGGTCCTCTTGTCCATTCTTTGTTTTTTGGCAGCTTGCTTCTTGAAAAAATGTCCAAGATGGTCTGTTTCTCTCTCTTCTTCAACACCTGTCGGAAATGACGGGCAAGGGTGTCATTGTAGAGATCATTGATCCTGTTGGCCTCGGCTCTGTTTGGATAATGAGTGTTGGTAATCTCCTGAACCTCTTCCCATTTGATAAGGAAGTTTTTGTCAACTTTCACATCTTCTGATGATGTCTTGCTTTGTTTCAATTGAAATCACCTTTCTGTTTTTTTAGAAGCCATGATTTGCATAATACTTGAATAAATGTAAATACCCTGCACTGAGGTGATGAACGTAATAAACAAGGGAGCAAGCTTCACCAACGGGAGCTCTGTACTTCAGATATACTAATAATATATTCTAACTAGCTGTTACCCGCGACTTCGTCAGCGGAGGTTTTTCAAGCAAACCCCATTTACATCCAATATTTCAATAACCATAGTAATTGTTATATAACACCTACCGCTGAAGAGAATTGCCGAAAATCAAACGAACTATTTTCAATNTGTTTCTCTCTCTTCTTCAACACCTGTCGGAAATGACGGGCAAGGGTGTCATTGTAGAGATCATTGATCCTGTTGGCCTCGGCTCTGTTTGGATAATGAGTGTTGGTAATCTCCTGAACCTCTTCCCATTTGATAAGGAAGTTTTTGTCAACTTTCACATCTTCTGATGATGTCTTGCTTTGTTTCAATTGAAATCACCTTTCTGTTTTTTTAGAAGCCATGATTTGCATAATACTTGAATAAATGTAAATACCCTGCACTGAGGTGATGAACGTAATAAACAAGGGAGCAAGCTTCACCAACGGGAGCTCTGTACTTCAGATATACTAATAATATATTCTAATAATACTAATATATTATAAAAATAGCAGATGGTCATTGGCAACGGCAAAAGTGTGGACACATCACTTGCCCTTGTTTGCAGAAAGACCGTTATTCGCCTCACGTAACAGCCAAACAGAAAGTCCGTTGTTCGCAGCATCCGTTATTCGAGGCGTACATTATACGAGGCACCACTGTACTATTATAAAATATTGATTTTGGGGTAGTATGGGAAATAGAAATCAAGAACAAATGGATTGTTCGCTATCTACCTCTGTTTTCAAAACTGATTCAATAGATGTGCTGTATCATAACTGGGATTGGTAGCATATAGCAGGGGTGCCCAGACTTTTTACTGTGAGAGCCCTAGTTACCTACATGAAAATTGGGAGCCGCACCTAAAGTTCTTGATATAAAAATATAAAAATTTCAGAATCATAATGTATTTATTTTGACAATTTTTACATATTTATTACATTTTTATTTATTTATTCTATGCTAGTTGAAAGTTTATGAATTTGTAATGTTGAAATTAATTTTTGATAATCAGGTTGATAATTAGAAATTGAACTTATTAGTTCTTTTAGATGTTAGTTGGTTAACTGTAAACAAAACTTTGATTTAATCAATAATAATTTTATTTACGATTTTAAAATGAGTGTCTAGCAGGATCAAGGAATTCGAGAGAGACTAGAGGCAAATTAAGAAGAATGAGAGAATGAGAGAGGACGAGATCCAACAGAAGGACAAATGTAAAGTGTGCAAACAACAGGTGCTACTTGGGAGCGCTAACTCTGAATTTAAAAAAAAAAAAAAAAAAAACATGAATTGACTGTGGCTCCGATATATTTACAAGATACAAAAGTTTTAAAAATAACAAATATTTTTTATTTATTAGTTGAGCCACAATTAAACTTTTGAAGAGCCGCTGAGGCTCGCGAGCCACAGTTTGAGCATGGCTAGCATATAGCGCTGACCTACGTAAAGTCAAAAGTAGTAATTACACTGTGAAAACTATAAATAATGTGGTTTTCTGTATATGAAAGGTTAATATATAATAATATATATTTTATGTAATATAAATTTTTTATAGTTATACTGTGAAAAGTATCTTTTTTTGCTGTTTTTGCTATTAAAGTCAAATCGTTACTTATAAGAACTCGGGTATTTTTCTTTTTGAGCAGTATTTTCGCGAAATTAATAAGTTCATGTGTTTTAAATTTTCTCTTATAAACCCGGGAAACGCCTTGAACATAAACTAGTTGTATATAAAAATCCAACTTACATTTAATGATATACTTAAAAACGAATATGCATTTAAACATTATTAAATTAAACGTGCGTTAAAAATAACCACCAGTTTGAAGAGACAGAAAGAGTAGATGGACTTTTACTTATACGACTTATACTTGCGCCGAGTATGAGAATCACACTTTAAGTGATCTGTCCTTTCACTATTAATAACTTGCACACGATCTATTCATTTAGTCACTTTTGTAATTTTTTTCTGATTAAAAAGCTTATTTCCATTATTTTCTCATGTGTAAATATCTTTAGATGAATTCTTCCTTATTGAAATTAAACATAAATTAATATCTGATTCACATTTCGATATTTTAGTAATTATGAATTAATTCTTTATTTTTGACATTTTGAAATTGGATTTATCATCTAAAAATTATTAACGAATATAATAATTTTTTTTACTTTTAAACGCTTAAATGTTTTTATTTGCTTTAATCTGTAAAATAACGTACGAATTTTTATAAATATATATTAGCATTTATACTATTATTAATTTGTATATTAATAATACGTTTTCAGTGAATATTTTAATTTAAACAGTTAATTTTCTCAATTAATATTATAACTTTTATTTCTTTGAATACTTGAACATATAATCTCTGTTAAAAATTCCACATTATTATTATTTTTTATCATCTTTTAAGAAAAAAGAGTAGACTATTAATACAATTTTATATTAATTACATTTATATATTTAAAAATGAAGTACTAAAATTAGTATTAAATTAGTTTTAAATTAGAATATAAAAAGTATTACATATGAATATAAATATAAAGTTCTAGAAAATTTCTAGAACGTTTTTAAGTTTGTACTGATCAATCTATTTAAATTGTGTTATTGATTTAAAATATCTTAGAATTTCCTGTGTAATATATATATTTATTTTTGAAGATTTATTAAATTAATTCTGTATATATAAATGCATACATATTAACTATCTATGAAATAACATAAAAAACGGCAATTTTGAATAATCTCTTGATGTAATAATGTAAATATTCAATGAAATTATTAATTATTCTTTTTAATCAAAGGATGTAAATATAATTAGTCAAAATGTAACTAAATAATATTTACTTATTAAATCTTTATTTATTCTTTAATTTATATAACTTATATATATATATATATATATATATAGTTGAAGAAAATTCATCAGCACATCGGATATCAAAATAGTTCTGTTAATGTGGAATCTTTAAATAAGTTGTTTGATAATGTAAGTAAAAAACTAATCTGTTTAAAACATATGATTATTAATTCTGTTTTATAATTTAAAAGTTTTATATTAAAATCAATTATTATCACGTTATCAGACGATCAAAACACCTTATGCTGTCGAGATAATGTACTGAAAAGTGTAAGGGTTTGACAATATCTGTTTCAAGGCTCGATATTGTCAAACCTTTGCACTCCGCAACATTAACGATGAACACTGAGAAAACTGAAATTTTTAAAAGCAAACTGTCAAAGATGTGTACAAATGCAAGGAACTCGGAAGGCTTACCATCGGCTTGGAAATATATAATCAAAAATATTTCATGAACTCCTAATTTATGCCTTAGTTTATAATTTCATGTTATATGAATATACCTTGATAATTTCTATTAATGTTTGTTTAAGGCAGTGTTTTTCAACCTTCTTGAATACGTGACCCCTTTACAAGTTAAAAATTTTTGGCGACCCCCCACAGCCATATTAAAACTATGTCAGTGATTTTAAAAACTACATATATAATTTTCTTTCTGTTGAGATTTCAATATCGATAAAAAAAACTAATTGTACTGTAAAATAAACAGGCACAACCTTCTCACTGAAATTGCAGTTTTTTCATTGTAGTGTAGGATCTACAAACACTTGTCTTTTTCTTTTACCCGCGACCCCCCGTGTAAGGCTCTGCGACTTACAGGTTGAAAAACACTGGTTTAAGGTATTATTACTGGATTTTTATTATTATTATTATATCTGATTTGATTTTTTTCATATATATATTTAGACATATACAGTATAATTTTTCTTTTATTTTCTTATTTTTTGTTATTATTATTTTTTGTATTTAAATTTACATATTTTATTTTTGGGAGGCCGACGTTCTAATCTGGTTTAACCTGAGGATGGCCTATTGAATAGGCTGAAAACGTTAGTTTGTTTTCAATAAATTATCTCGATAACATAAGGTGTGTTTGATAGTCTATTAATTATTTGCTTATTACGTTCTGTTATATATTATCACATTATTAATGCATAATATGAAATATTTAAGAATATAAATTACAAAGAATACATCAGCAATTTCAATTATTTAAAATAAAATTGAATTAATTATGATATATACTCGCGAATTATATTCTAATTGTGATGAAACTCAACTAAATGCATATCACTTTATTGATCGTTCAATACAAGGAATAAGGCTACGTCCTACATGGCAGCGTTCAGCGACCGCGGGCGGAATCTTTGTACGCGCTTCCAAATCGCGAGTGACTTCTGTCTAGAATGGACACATGTTGTTTACAAGATAGCTGCGAGAAGACTTCATTGAATGCTACTGTGGAAAATATGACAGGCATTAAAACTTTGACAAGTAAATTTGACAGTTAATGGTCATCACTAACTAGATACACAACAAATATAAAGAATCTTTATAGAATAATAAGTTAAAAAAGTTTTACTTTTTTTTACAAAATCAGAAATTATTAAATTACGTAAAGGATTATTAATTAAAGTACATACAACATATATACACAATTTATTTGCCATTCTGTTTACATTCATCTTCAAAATCAGTCATTTTCTTCGTTGGAAGAGCGAGTAGTGGAAGCGGCGATCATACTGGCTTGGTAGCTGCTTCCTGCACGCACGTGTAGAAGCGTTATCTGGTGGTCGCTAGTAGTGATGTGCCGGATCGTTAAAAATGTATATCCGCATATACGGATACAGATACGGATCATTAGTGTCTAAATCTGCGGATACGGATACTGATACGGATATCCGGCACATCACTACCACTAGTCGCTACACGTTAAACGCGGTTACTCCGGACACGCACATTTGTTTGAACCGGTTTGTCCGCTCCGCTTGGAGGCGCGTTCACGCCAGCGGTCGCTGGACGCTGCATCGTAGGACGTAGTCTAAAAGTTCAATAATATTTCCTCCGTCACGTTCATTTTGATAGAGTAATGAAAAATACGAAACTGCGCCGAAATTTCTATAAAGTAACTGACATGTAAAATCAAACATATGAGACGTAAAAAAATTGCAAGTAAAAATTTATGACAATTTGAACGACAGTCAAATTCTTAAGGAAGTTTTTTTTTTTGGTAAAGATAAGTTTGGCAGTTCGAAGCGAAATGTAAAACACATTAATACAATTAATTAAATAGATTAAACATTAAATTAATACAGGTAAAAATCTTCCAAACGCCAAGTTTATTTTTACCAAAGAAAAACTCTTAAGAGAAAAGTTTGACCGTCATCCAAATATTGGTATAAGCTTTTTCTTGGTGCAATTTTTGTACATCTCAAATGTTTTTGTTTGAATATCAATTCACTTTTGATTAACGATTGTGTTATTACATCAAGAGCCAAGACGATGACGTGCAGTTTAGGGGGTCTGCGACGCGACAGCCGCCGCGTCGATCGAACGTCGACAATACGTCATTAGTAAAATCGTTATAAAAAGTTTAAATTCTTAAAATGTAAAAATCACATAAATTTGAGCTTTCTTGAAAATATTTTGAATGAATCATTTGTTTCGATATAAATTTATCTTTACATGCATAAAATTAAACTGATGAAAGTAAAATAACTCTATGGAAACCCCGTGAACTTTGGCCTATCGATCCGGAAGTTTCGTGGCCATCTCGCTGGTAACGACAAAAGCTTAAGTTTAAAATTTGAGCTTTCTAGACTTAGTAGTTTTTCTCTAGGAACAGTTGGGCAACACGAGGGTTTTCAACAACCGCTGAAAGCATTAAAAAATGAATGCAGGCAAATAGATAACGTTTATTGGGATGACAGCATATTCACTGTGACTCTTGTTGCTTGAACTGGTAGAGGAGAAGGTGGTATTATGGAACCCCAATTACATTTTAGTGAATTGTAAACAAGGTATCATAACTACACCCACATTTTTTGTGCGAAAAGTACTGGTAACTAGTAAACTAAATGTTCCTAATTGGATTTTTCGCTAGTGTAATTATAAGTATGGTTTTTGAAGGCTTTTGTACAAAAAGTCCGAAAGTAGGCTTAGAGAAAATCGGGTGGTAATATGGAACCTTACTGTATATTTTCAAAAAAATGCTTTAATGTAGCCAAAAACAAATAGGAAAGGACAAAAAATGTTAAATAATTACAAAATTATTTACTCCAATGTATTTTATCGCAAAAATGCTTTTATAATAGAAAAATATGACCTCCATCAACAATATATATTCCAGCAGCTCTTTTTCGATATTTTCAGACTTTCTACCTAGTGTCTTTTTCCCAAATTGCTCCGGACGAATGTCTGATTGCAAAGAGAGAGTTCGGAGGAGTTGAGTTCCATATTACTGTAAAAGCACCAAAGGGGTCCGTATTTCACGCATCGCCATCTCGAATTAACTTATGTCTGTCGAGACCAAAATTTAAAAAACGTGAACATCACACAGATTAATATGTACCCCTAAGTCTCTGGAACGGAATACATGCACCAGTGAACCTACAACTACACGATTTATATTTTAAAAATAATTAAATTCACTTAGCATTCAAAACTTGTGAATTTTGAAAAAAACAAATTTGCTGATTAAATACGGACAACCGTTCAACTGAAGTAAAACGGGTTTTCCCCTTGCTCTTGATGTCTGCCTAGTTCAGTTCATCCACATTCCGCTACAGTTCGCCTTTATTATCAGTTCGAAATGGGGTGGTTCCATAATACCCGCAGTGTAGCATAATACCACCTTCTCCTCTATCTTAATGGCCTGCACTGACGGACCGAGGCGATGCATTCGTTAGTATGATGGAGTGTGGTGTGGAAATATACAGTAGTGGCCAAAAGTAAAGCTACCATTGACATATTTTTTTTAAAAATGCGTTCTCTATTTTGTTTACCACCTACTACATAATTAATATTATAATAGTCGAAAAGAGCACAAAAAGAGTAAAAATACTCAATTCAATCAAACAGATTTTATTTTAAATCTGATTTACAAAATTGAAAAAGCAAAGTTTTTATATTTTACAGTGACTAAAGTAGATCCATCAAAAAGTATGCAGATTTTCCCTGTAATTTTAGGACAAAATATTAGTATTTTCTAGCCATTTTTTGCATGCGACACATGAACACCAACCCTCAATCGACTGTGAGTAAGCCTCGGTGCAGTAAAGGCAAGCCGCATCATCTTCTCCTTCCGAGTAATCATCTCCGTGTTCTTTTTTACTAGACTTTGTTTTTTCCTTTTCCGTTACATTTTCCTTTTACTTTTCCTTTACGGGTAACCGTCCCATTGTGCATCACCCGTTGTGCCCCAAAGCACATGCTTCTAAAAGTCAAGTAGAGAAAAAAGTTTATAATTACTTTTTGCGTTATTTCATTCTAAAAATACAAGCAAACAAATCTTTAATAATCTAGACTATATAAATTTGGTTAAATTATAAAATATACCATATACTTTCACTGTTTTGATATTGATACACTTGTAATTTCATCAAAAAATCACGACACAAGGTTTTTCTGCTCAACGACGAAGCGAATCTCGGTAACCAAGTATTTACACTGATGTGTTGTCGCAGTCTGAGTATAGGGCAGGGAGCAAACCAATTCCCTCACCTCTCTTTCATACGTAAATCGTCTTTCCCATTCCGCCCCGGGTTCCCCTACATACATGTGCATATACACTTGTGAGTGGCACGTGGCTTCTCTAGACCCTTCCTGTGATTCCCGTGTACTTACACAAGTTTTTTTTTATAAACTTCGTACATACTATCTAAACGTATGGAATATTTTTGTAAGATTTCTATTATGTAGTAACGGATTGCAAGCATAACTTTTAACTTAAACACAATCCCATCTACAGTACAAACTTACACACCCTATACCAATAATAATGAAAGAGAAACAGTAATATGTACGGTACCCTGTATTTAGATAAAATGAAAAATTAATTTATAATAAACCTATTTTCCTACATACCTACTCAAACGTACGCATTCTTAACATATCTTTACCGATCATAATGATATCTACTAGAGAACAGTGATAACTGTATGTCGCACAGTTAATACTATAATACTGTCCTAACAGAGAATGCTTCTCTCGCGTATTTCTGATATGGGCTATATTGCCCATACCGTGACAAGGTTTGACCACCACTTCTGTACATTTCATATAAAATTTTGTTTTATTAACATTCTGACATGTTCCTGTTTGAAATGCCAAATAAATTATACCACCAAAACTTCTCGTGTGCATGGCTTTGCATTAGGACGGAAATCAACATTAACATCTTTTATTGTTCATGTTATTATTATTTAATAAATTTTAAAACACTTTTAAATTAGCATGATAATCACACTTACTTGTATAGTAATAAAAACATTGTACTGTACGTATCATAATTATTTCATATAAATTGAAAATATAATTTTTTCTAGATCAATATTACGGATAATTACATTCAAAATATATTAGCTGTACAAAAACAAATGATTTCCGATGAGATGCTTGATCCAAGTAATTATTTATTTTTTTGGGAGGAGTAAGCAAATTTTTCATAGTATAATTTTATTTTCTTCTGTAAACTGATTAATTTATTTATAATTATTATTCTCTATATAGAATAAAAGTAAATCCAATGGAGGTTGGCGCAAGTTTAGAATTCGATGGAAAGAGATCAGTAATAGGTATGTATTTTGTCTATTTATTTATCAGTTAAACATATAATTTTCTTTTCTGGTCTCCTTCAGCTCTGTGCATACTGAGAGGGCCTTTTTCAGGCCCATTGTAAGTTTGACCAGACTCACAAGGATAGGGCCAGGTGGGGAGTGACGGATCTCGACATATCCTGAACAGATCACTCCTGAATAAATCTTGAAATTTTTCGACCCCCTGATTCAATTGTGAGTCTCCCAGCGCGGTAGACTGATGCTTTAATTGCATTGGCCATCTGAACGGCTACGATTCTACTTAGTGTATATGTTACTGTGAATGACCGATATCTGGCGAATGTCAACATTCTCCGGTGAATGTCAGCATTTACACAGTCGTTTCGTGTATGTATTACTGTGAAAGACCAAAATTAGAGAATGTTGATATTCTCCGGTGAATGTCGTCACATGCAATATACGTCGATGAAAGACCGAATAATTTTTTTTATATTATTATACATTCGAACAATCGCAGGTGTATGTCGACAAGCAAAGGTAAGCTTTGGTGGAGGTCGAAACGTCACCCGAGAAGCCGATATCGACAGAGAGGCGATAGTATATCGCCAAATTCTTCGCCGTTTCCTTTTGCTCAAAATTGTGATATTCGTATGAATACAAGTCCCTGATGTCGACCGTACGGATGCTCGAAATGTGTTGGCGGTTGTTGTTGGAATAGAAGACTTCGACTTTTATAAATTAGCAAACAAAAATGATATCCTGAAGAAGCTTTATATTCATAATCAGTTCGTAATTTGTAAAGAAAAGTTACTTTCCATAGATGAGATTTCTTCTCAAGAAATGTCGCTGAGAAAAGCAGCTGCAGCTAATTCGAAAAGAGGAGGGCAAGATTATACACGATGTCATTGCAAAAAAGTGCAGTTGTGAAAGCAAGGGACTCTTGTGAAATTCAAAGTGCTATAACAGTTTAAGTTGCTCCAATAAATAAAATTGTATAACGTTAATCACATAATTTGGGAAAATTTGGGAATTTGTGAAGTTTATTATTGTATTATTTTCTTTAGTGATTAAGAATGTACTGTTCGTTTTAGGTTCAACAGTTTATTTACATGCGCTGTTACTTAAGCTTTCTCCTAATTTGACATATTTAAAAGTTGCATTTTTGTCTTAACGTAATAAAAATATTTTTATTCAACATTTACCATCAGTGCATTCTGAATGTCGACACTTGCCTGTGTAAGTGAGAAATAATGATATTTAACAAATATTTCGTACATACACGAAACGACTGCGTGAATGCTGGCATTCACTGGAGAATGTTAACATTTGCCAGATATCGGTCATTCACAGTAACATATATAGGACTATATGTTAACATATAGGGGAGACCGGGGCAAGATCGGCATGTTAAGCTTTACTTAAAGCTTTACTTAAAGCTTGTGTAATAAATACTGCTGTAAACTGAAAAAAAAGCTTTGCATATTGTCTATTGAAATTATTTCTTACTATAGAACTGGTTAAAATCAGTTTGGAAATAAAAATAATTAAAATAATTACAACTTTACAAGAAGAGAGAAATTGACGAAGTTGCCCCGGGTATAGGGGCAAGATCGGCAACTTCTCTCTTTTTGTAAAGTTGTAATTATTTTAATTATTTTTATTAAAGTTGCCCCTGGTATAGGGGCAACAGTAATGGGGCAAGATAGGCACGTATATAAAATTATGTTATTAACAATGTATAAGTTGGAATTCACTATTAAAACAAAGAAATACAAATCCAACACCCATTTAATATTATTACAACGAAATGCAAGTTCAAAGACATATATACATGAATAACAAATGCAAACATGTTTTCATTTATCATCTGTTTGATTTTTATCCTTTGCTTCTAATGTGGCTTTATGTTGCCGATCTTACCCCGCTAGTCATGATTTCGAAACATTAAGTACAACCCTGAGAACAGAATGCCAAGCCACGATCTGGCCACGTGAATAAGTTGAAGTTACATCCTTCTAACAGGAAAAGTAACTTTCGTTATCATGGAATTATAACAAAACCTGCCAATTCAATATAAATGGAAAAAAAATATTATATGGAATTGAACGAAAATGAAAATTTGCTTGATAATTCAACTACGCTTGTTGGAGAACAATAAAAACACTACACTCAACAAGCCACCAATAAAACTCAACTGCCTAACCTATAACCAAAGTCTCCTTTTAATCTGTTTTTAAAAAAAAAGCGCTTGACAAACTTGCCCCGCATGCCGAAGTTGCCCCGGACTCCCCTACACCAATATAGTGTTCGATTATTTTGATTCGTTAACTCATAATGAATTTTAACTAATTGATTTTAGTTAAAATATTAATGTTCTTATAAATTAATATTTCTTTTATAATTATTATTAAATTTATATATAATTATAGAAATACCGTTAGCATTGATGTATCCTCCTTTTTATGCTTATGGATTACCTCAGTGAGTATCAAAGAACTAAGTAAATTGCCGAAATTCTAAAATAACTAACAATTTTTATCGTATTTATTATAATAGATACCTTAATTTTGGTGGTATGGCCTTTGTAATTGGTCACGAATATTCACATGCATTCGATCATTTGGAATCGAAACGACGTAAGATTTATACTTTAGATTTATAATAAAAATAGTTATAAATTATTGATTAAATTGTTTAAAGAATTCCCACTATATTAAAACATAAACAATATATTATGAATGTATTTATTGAAAATAAATAAATAATAATTTAAATTCATTTAATTTGTCGAAGAAAAAGAAAATATAATAGAACAAAACCAATTGGAATTAATAAATTAAATTAAAATATTGTAATATAAAACTTTACAATTAAAAAATAGTCTATTGTGAATAATTTACTGATTATAAAAATATACAGTATACCTGAATGTTTTAGAGAAGTCAATAATATATTCTTTCAATTTAATTTCGTAAAAGTAAAACTAAAACAATAAACACCACAGTTAAAATAATAACTTTTATATTTTCGTTTTCCCTTGGTGTATAATCGAAATCAAATTTTTATTACTGCAAACGTAAGGCGAACCAATCGAGTTAAATATTATTTGACGTATATAATATTCCGTATGGTGTGTAATGACGAATGCATATTAAAATATGGCGATTGTATAAACGACGTTCTGTTTCATATATATATTGATGGAATAAGGCAACGCATCATAAGAACGATCTGCCAAGGAGGAACTGCCCGTGAAGACTTTCTATGAGACTGGTCCCCAGTTTGGTTTCAAACACGTGAAGAAAACTCGAAAAACTCCATGAGGCATCTCGTTTGTTAGTTAGGCTCGAACTCGGAACTAGCTAAGCAGGATTATGATTTATGTTACGGCTAACGGGAATCTTAGCCAGGCACAAGTTCAAAGTGGTGAGTCCGTACCCCAAGGTTCAAATCTATTCTGGGGTATACGTTCGTTTTTCTTGCGTCTCGCACTCGTCGACGTCCTAACAACAAGTGACCAAACCACAAAGTGACTGACCCTGCGGTTCCTTCGTACCGCGCAGGATTACTCTCGCAACGACTTCCGTTGCCATGGCTAGGGGTCTTCTGCCTTAGGGGTGTTTAGTCATAATCCTACAAACAATAGCTTCGCGCTACTGGCCACTCGACCAAGCACATGTACCGTACAAAGTTTCCGTTACAATTTATATTTGTTTTAATTCTGTCTGTTTGTGATTGTCGTTTAAGATCATTGTATATAAATGTAGTCACTGCATCAGAATAAAATAACGTATATTATTATTATTATTATTAAGTTAGAACTTTTATTTTTAAATCAAACAAAAAATAATTAATCAAGATATTGCTTTTTAACTAAATTGTAAGAAAAAATTTGTACAAATTTTGATTGTACAAAAAGTATAAATTCTCTGTACAATCTGTTAAATACTTTAATAGGATATGGATCAGAAGAGAATACCGAATCAGAAGAAGATACGCAAAATTCAACAGAGGCAATTGATGAAGAAGGAGACAACATAGATTTTCCTGAAGAATTTTTGATAGAATACAAGAAAAAGAAAAATTGTCTGCGATTTCAATACTCGGAATTTCCATTAGAAGGAAATCTCACGGTATTCTATGTTTTCCTAAACGATTACATATTTTGAAAATTTCAATTACGTGTTTTATCTTTCGTTTCCAAAAACATAAAAAAATAAATATAATGGTTTTAGATTGATGGAAATCAAACAATTTTCGATAATATCGCAGACAACAGTGGAGTCACTGTTGCTTTCCGGGTAATAATCATCATTTATGCTTTTATCATTTTTTATGTTTATGCTTTTTGACTTCTAGATATTTTTTCCTAATAGTTTTGGTAAAATTTAATTATGGCAGGCTTACGAGAAATATCTTAAACGCCATGGAGAAGAACCTCATCTTCCTGGTCTCGACTTTACAAACAAACAAATGTTTTTCATTGGATATGCTCAGGTTAATTCATACATTTGAAATCTGATTAAAAATAAGTTAATATTGCTTAATGTGCTTTGTTTTATAAAAAACTTATTGCTATTCTGATAAATATCTGGAATATAAGTAAACAAAAATAAAAACACTATAGAATTTTGATTTGCCAAAAACAATTCAAAAGATATTAATTCCAATAAGAAACTTTTTGTAAATATTTTATTTTATATGAAGGTTTGGTGTGAGGCAATCGAATCCATGAAACAAACTTTTGAAGATGATCTACATAGCCCTGGAAAATATAGGTAATAATAGAAAAATAAGCAATCTTTATCGTGATAGAAAGCAAAACCTAGAGATAATGAACATTGAAATGCTTAAAATAAAATTAAGGTTAATTATTAAATTTTTGACAGAGACTTTTATCATGGATAAGGCTATAAAAAAATACAATACTAAACTAATAATAATTGTAAATTTTGTTTATTTTGATTAGAGTCATGGTCCCTCTAATGAATTCACCAGAGTTTGCTAAAGTTTTCAACTGTCCTTTGAAAAGTTACATGAATCCCGAGCATAAATGTCGATTATGGGGATGAATTGTATTTACTGTACTGTACATCCAACTTCAAAAATCAGATATTTATCATTGGACAGTTGCACTGAAATTCATATTAGAATTTTGTTTATACAGCTTTTTCGATCAAACAATTAAGAAAAATAGTGAACATTTTTTATTTAAGACGAAAGCTATTCAACAAAGTACGATTGAGAACGGTAAGAAAAAAATTAGCAATCAGATCTCAGGCAATACGCTGATGCACACCATCTGACAAATTTCAATATGAAAATTACTATTATAATAGTGATTTAAATGTCATAACTAAATTAATAATGTTGTCAAATGTTATGCAAAATTCAAGATAAATGTAATAAAAATAAGTTTTTTTTATCGTATTCGTTTACTGTCGAATTTATTTTTGTTTAAAACATTCTTGGCTATATGTCAGTACATATAGTCAAGAATTTATGACATGTATGTAATGAGTAACATTAATTCTTTTGAAATGCTATAGTGCAAAAGGTTCAGAAGTATCAAACAGACTGACATACATAAAAATGAACAAATTCTAGAGAAGTTTAAGGTTAAAATAATGTACAGTACAATGCAAAGAATCTCAATATGCAAAAGATCTCAAAATGGGCGCATCTTACGAAGGTCTTAGGAAAATTTAATAAAGATAGTGTTCCAGAGAAGTTCAAGGAAAACAGGAAAACAAGAATACCCATACTTCAATGGAAGATAATATTAGGGACTTGACCAACAGAACATTGACAGAGACTGCTCACGACAGAAACAAGTGAAGAATTGTCCATCACCTGTAAACCCATCGATAGAGAATGTCATGTGAATGAATAAATTATTTTTATAAGAAATTCATTTTTATTTTTAACTTACTGATTTTTTGTCAAACTTTAACAATTTTAGAATTACGACTATGTAGCAGATTCAAGACCATTGATTTTACGGAATTTTCATTCGATTCTATTAAACATAATGTAAATATGTATAATAATATTAAAGAAGTATTTACTAAAATTGATACGAACATATCTTACTAAAGAATAACGACAATCTTTTTAGGTATGAATAAAATGTTATTCCGAATCTCTGTAAGTTAATATTAAGCTTTGATATTTGGAAACACCTTATTGACATTTTGTAAAAATTTATTTTTCAAACGTGAGTTTATTATTTATTAAAATATTATGTAAAATGCAAGACCGGATTCTTAATAACATTTATAAAAATAGCGTTTGCAAAATTAAATTAGAATGCTTATTTATTTTCATAAATGGTCTTTTTGCATACTATAACACACAAGTTCTTACTGATAAAAGACTAAAAATGTATTAATTTCAAATCTTTAAAAATTTATATATAATAATATTAAAATTATTTCAAATACCAATAATTAAGAACTAAAATAACGATAATAAATGGCATACAAAGAAACTTAAAAAACATTTTATTATAAATTTCACGCTAAATTTTCGTAACTGAATTAACAATATATTAACAAATCTAGTGGAAAAAATATATGTAACACAATATAAATATTAACAACACCCACGGAAGGAAGTTTATGAATAGCTTTTGATACATCCAAGGACGTAGTAATTGATATGATGATGTTCTTAGCTATGATAAAGATGCATTGAAAATTCCAGCCTTGTGTATAATTTGTAAAACTAAAATATCGTTAAAATTAAAGTACTTTTTAAATCGGTAGATAAATAATGAAAAATTCAAAATCTGAGAAAAAACCGCTTGAGGAAAAGTGAGTAATATTTTTCTGTTACATTCTTAAAGAGATTAGACATTAAAAATTTATGTTCCAAAGAAAAAAGTATCATAGTTAAAATTGTAAATTTAAATACATTAAATATAGAGTAAGTAAACATGCTTGTCTCTTCCTTGTATAGTGTAAAGTTAAAAAAGAAAAATATCCAAACTATTCATATAAGTGTTTTTAAAGAAAGAAGTTAACACATTTGTGTTGTTTAAATATAATATTAGCAACTTATCACATTAATTATTAACTGTTTGTAGATATAAGTTTAAAACATATATTTAAATGAAATGGAATTTTAAAGATATTCTGGAGTTCTGAAACTGTGGATCACGATTCATAGTTTTAAAATCTTTTGATTATCGTTAAAAGTATCATTTCATATATATAAAAATTCATCATTTAACTTCACAAATAAATTATATTTTAAAACAGCTGCATTGAAAGATATTGTTGCGTAATAAGTCATGCCTATCAGAAAGTTTTATCAAGTATTATCACTCTATTCCTCCAATTAAACAGTTCGGAAATTACAAGTATTTTTAGTATTATGATTATCTTAGAAAATTTGTAGATTAAAAGTTTTAAAAGTATTAAGGCCCGCATAAATTAAATATTATCATTAATTACTTTTCTAGAATTCACTAATTTATTCTATGAGCAATTACACAAATTTGTCAATCAGTTTAAGAGGTCGCGATATTAGAGAAGTTGAGAAACTTTAATGATAAGAATTATCAGTTTACTTTTTCATTTTATAAACAATACAGATTTTAGTATAAAATAATTTAAATTTAATTATCGTAGGTTTTTAATAAATTATATGTAATAATTAACGTTTTGGCTTAAAAAATAATATTTTTATACGGATTTCGTAAAATATTGAATTAAAATTAATTTAATAATCAATTATACAACTTTATTATTTATTATCATAATTGTATGCATAACTTATTTTATACATAACAAGTAAAAAAAAACAAATATTAAAATAAAAATCATATTGAGTTCGGACATTTTAATTTGCCATTATTTTTATTCAGAAGTGTCGTGGGAGTGGAGTGTTGTTTCAAAGTAGGCCTAGTTTATATTTTCCACGGGTAATACAGATATGTACGAAATACTTGATTCAGATCTATCAAAACGTTTAGACGTGTATAGAGAACAGACAACATGTAAATGTTCTATCACATATATTTTTTATTTATATTTTTGATTAATAAAATGACATCAATTGCAAACAATTAATAGCACTTTATTTACTACCATAAGATAATTAAAGACAGCCAAAATTTTTCTAATATTAACTCTAACGCCCCATTTATAGCCGAATACGAAATGGTAATAGGCCAATCAATGAAATTTCACAAAAAAAGGCTATATATTTAAACTCGACACCATCCAAAACTTTAAAAATATATTTCGTGCACGCTATTTGGTTTGTATTAAGTAATTTTACTATTTGAATGCCACCATCCTGCAGGTCATATAGAAAGGGGAGTCTGTTGTGAGCCTGCAGTTGAAGATAATTCGAGCGAAATTAGTTGTCGTCCTCCTGCTGGATGAGAGGATAGTACCTGTAAAGTTTCATTGCCTTCGTTCAAACCATGTTGAAATTTATAAAGAACTAACAAACAGTAGCAAAAAAACTTTAATACAGTTATTAAACAATATAATTTAAAAGAAAACAGTGTGGTTCGAAAAAGAATGTTGCAATTTAAACTGACTTTCTTCTTTACATATTAGAAAATAAAGATTTTTTATAACTATGAAATTTGTATAAAAGAAATTTAAAATATTCTCAAGTAGGAAGATAAATAAAGTCAAAAAGTGTCTAGGTCAAATAACGTCTTAATTAAATAATTACTAACAGTTCTATGCGAGGTTACAGCCTTGTAGCTTAGTCATATCAGTTTTATTAGTAAAATGGTTTACATAATTAATTACTGTATTTATGTCTTTGAATAAAAACTGTTAAATAAGCTAATTATGTAACTTTAGTGAAGTTTTTACCGAAAGAGTAAAAACAAAAAGTTTTGGATAAATTTGTTAATTAATTTAATTCTCTAAGATTTATTATGCAAAATTAAGACGATGATACGTTTAATTGTAAATCTAAAAGATTGAGTCCTATCTATAAACTAAAAATTTTGTTGTTAAGTACGGTATATCAATTGTTTTGAAATTATGCATATAATTTCATAACAAACCATAATGTACAGTACAATACTATACTTAACAAAAAAATTTTGAACTGTGGCAGATCACCACACAGGCTTAAGAAGCGTGTGGTGGGGATTTCCGAAAGTTAGAAGCTTGAAAAAAAAATAAATGCATCTGCGAACCTCAGGCACAGATGTCATTTCATCAAGACAATTTGATATAAATGGTGGAGTAAGTTTTACTATTTAAAAACAGAAAAAAATTTATTTTCTACTGTTAGAAAATATCTTAAGTAATAAATAATATTTAAACTTCTTTGTGCACTTATGTGACAGGATAACAGTAGATATATACAGTAAACCTTTCTATGGCGACCACCCACGGTTCCTTCAAAAAGTAGTCTTTAAGACAGGTGGTTGTCTAATACAGGTGGTACTGTAATCCCGTATTTTCGTACGTATTTTACTAAGCAAAACTCAAGGTGTATTTTATTCTTATCGGATAACTCGATTAACAGGAGTCGTTGTGATTTTATAAGACAGAATTAATACCAATATTTTAAAGATTAATAAAATAGTCGCATTTTCTCGAATATAATGCATACTTTCTTTCTTCCGACTTAATTAATTCGACTCGGTTCTTTTCGTTTGCTCCTCAGTTTCGTGTATTACGTGGTCGATATACAAGTCCGTCCTATCTCTCCATTACTTTGGTTTTGGTTTTCGTTAGTTTATTCTTATTTTAACTTTAAAAATGCTGTATTTATTTAATATTTTCTTAAGTACAATCAGAAAAATTATTAATTAATAATAAAACGATTTTATTATTATTTCTCATTATACGATTTCATTACATTCCGCGATTGTCATTGAGGAATCGAAAAAGGAAGGTTGCCTGTAAAACTGATTTTTGCATTAATGCGTTTGTTGTTTTTTTTTAATATTTCGCGTGCGAAAATTACTTGGATATTATTTTTCTAAACATATCGTGAAAATAAGGTAGGTTGATACAGAAACTATTTAATGCACATGTACTGTATATGAGCTTCAAAATAAATAAATATAAATAAATTTTATCAAACGATGAGATCAGCCGATTAATTGTATCGTGTACGATATTTTATACCCCCAAGGAAAATACTGTAGGTCTACTAATAAATTTCGTTTTCCCACAGTTAAACTTCGCCGCTAATTGCTGTTGTGATAACTTTAACATGATCTAACTACAGCACTTTGCATTTCTTTCGTTTTTTCGAACAATTCGAACAAACTGAAATGAATTTCCTTTATTGCTAGACTAATTCATTAACACCTGCACCTAATTTCAAGAGTGGGAGAAAGGAGAAACGTTGTTGAACAATAGTTTAGACCAGATATATTCGCGGAAGTGGTCGCTTATTACAGTTGTTGTATGTTGTTTCGGGCCAAAAATCGATGCCCGCGGTCGCGTTACACAGGTGGTCGTTTAATACAGGTAACTTATACGAAGAGTCTATGGATAAACTATTCGGTGCCAGAAAGTTTTGTCCGTTGTGACAGGTGCCCGTCGAATGCAGGTGGTCGCCTAAGCAGTTTTCACTGTATACACTATCCAGTCACATAAGCGCAAGTGATTTCTTTCAAACTTTAGAACGAATGAAAAAGTTCTTCCTACTTGCGTTTGGTATGTTTGGTGTTTTAATTTCTCTTCTTTTTGTAAAGGAAATGTTATAACGTAAGTATTCATATATTATATTATCGTTTACATTATATACAATAAGCATTATTTTATTGTCATTACTAGTTGTTACAATCAACAGAACAAGCCCATTAAAAACAACAAAATCCACTGCAATTTAGTCGATAATTAGAATCATATCATTGAATATTAAAATTAATTAATCACTAATTAACCACTTTTAAAGATGTTGTATATAACAGAGGGAAAGTGTGCCAATTGTTAAAAAATGACTCCATAAATATTTTTACATTTTTAGACTTAGAGGAATCTTGAAATGTCGAAAAATGCAAAAAATGTTGGGATTTTTCGATGTTTGGGGGGCACAATTTTGTTCTCCCAATTTGAACCTTAATAACTCTTGTGACTTTGTCGAAAATTTTTAAAATTTTTCAGGAAGGTTTGTATATTAGGAGCATTAATATTATTAAATTTTAGAGTCAAGGGTGTGGGAGATAGAAGGTCATTTATCATATCTCGAGTGAAAGTCAGACTTAATGATTTTACTCGTTATCACCATTTACGATTATTATTATTATTATTTTTATTTTTATAAAACACCTTTCTGCCCTCAAAATTAAGCGTTTTGCCATTTTATAATAATTAATGATATAAATTTTTTGATAATTAAAATAAAAATGAAATTTTTTTATTACAATTATAAAAATATAAAATAAAATCTCATAACTGATAGCCCACATAATTTTAACTTTTTTGTTCGGAAAGTTACGTAACTCGTGGCTTGATTTTTTAAATTAAGTAGTAAATTGATTTGATAGCATTACTTAATATTTAGAACAAGGAGGCCTCAAAATCAGTTTGTGCGTGAATCCCACAAAGTGCCCGATTAGCCATTGATTTTAAAGAAGTGCCGACATGAAAGTGCAGACTGAATAAGAGCAAGAATAAGAGAACAATGACATTCGAGCAGGAATAAAAATATAATGCGACCGTAATCATGTTTAAAAGAGCATAGATTCAAGTGCCTAACATTATTTAAATAATTAACCTGAACACTTTGCGGATGCATTAATGCAGTGTTTTTCATCCTGTGGGTCGCGACACCCAGGGGGTCGCGAAGCCTTACACGGGGGGTCTCGGGTAAAAGAAAAAAGACAAGTGTTTGTAGGTCCTATACTACATTAAAAAAAAACTACAATTTCAGCAAGAAGGCTGTACAGTACCTGTTTATTATACAGTACAGTTGGTTTTTTGATTGACATTTAGGTCCGAATGATGGGTGTCGCCTGGGAGGGGCCTGGGTGGGTACGGCCCATCCCAGAAAATGATTGCTGAAAAAGTGTTGAGCTGACTTGTAAAAAGAAGTAATACGTAGAAAAGTAGAAGTGAAAAACCCTCATCTCCCCCCCAAAAAAAGGTCAACAGCACTCCGAACCCATTGTTATTATAAGAAGGAAGTAACATACTATACGTGTCTTAAGTTATTGTCGATTCTCCTCAAATTCTCATTTTAGTCATCAACAGTAATTTCTCTCAACAGAAAGAAAATTAAATACATATTTTTTTAAATCACTGATATAGTTTTAATATGACCCTAGAGGGTCGCCAGAATTTTTTAACTTGTAAAGGGGTCGCGTATTCAAAAAAGGTTGAAAAACACTGCATTAATGTAATAAAAAATTTATGAAAATAATTTATAATATTTAAATTAGTGAAAAATGCTTTATGATATACTACTCCTGTAACTTAGTGTATATGTATATGAAATTATAATTCGTATTACTCATCTCTATTTTTATGGTTTGACGTGTTATATGAAAAAAATTACTCAAATTTCATACTTGATCTTTGGAGAATTTAGCTAATAAATGTTATTAGTCTACTATTTTTGAATAGTAGACTAATAACATTTTGAATAGTAGAAATGTTAATAGATCTACTATTTTTTAATAAGTCTATTTTCGTTTTTGTACAATGACACATTAGAAATACAAAAAAAATTAGAAAACATAATTTTAAGAAAAAACATATGAAATAGAAAATGGCGAAGTTAAATGAATTTATCGATAGCAAGAATAACTTAACGTTTATCGTTTAATACACAAATCTAAATCCTAATATTATCCTCTTGTCATCTAACAAATGTTTATTACTGTCTGGTCAAAAGATGGATTGATATAAAACGTAATTAAGAAAGTGACTCTTGTGTAATATGAGCCGTAATTAAACAGTTGGTGTTTTGTTTATTTCGAAAGCCTTGTGGCCAACACTTTATGAGTACAATCGAATAAAATATATATATACAGAATATATATATACATCACACGATACATTAGTAATACCAAACGATCTGCCACGTTTTTATCGAATTGTATTAAGGATAATTAATAATAAGAAAAAAAAACAATTTGGCTAGTGATCCGTTATTGTTGTTGTGATTATTAAATATTTTTAAATTAGGCCCACCAGCGGCCAAGCGATTCCGTTCTCTGAACACTGGGAATTCGGTCGTGGGTTCGCACCTTGCCAGGATGGGCTGACCACGTGGAGTTTTCTGGATTTTCTCCACGTCTGTAACTCCTGAATAGGGGCAGTTATCCTTAAAAGACCTTCGGGAAGACATTTTTCCTAGGCAGATCGCCAAAGTATTGGGTGGCCGTAAAGTTAACCAAGCAAACTAGCTTTGAGTTTTATCTGAATTTATGCTAAAAATCAAATCAACTGTACTTTATTAAACGCTAATTTAAACGTTAATTTTATAGGAAAATAACTTAATAATAGGCTCGAATTATCCAACAATTCGAATTAATAAGATTCGATTCATTTTAAAACACAAAACTGGATGCATTATCTGGAAAACACATGAAATATTGAATACAGAGAACAGAAAATAACAAACAAGTCGTATTTGCCAAAACACGTTTGGAGCGAGGCATTCTTCAATCGGTACTGTAAATTTACATGTAAATCCTAAAATATAAATATATGATGACATCCAACAGGAAGAAATGGAACAGAAGATACTTTTGTTCTTCATCTCATTTTCATTATTAATTTGTGTAACGTAACGCTCACATTGTATGTGAGCGCTAAATTAATAGTAAAACGTCATTGTTTATCCACGCGCTTTTTTTTAACTCTTTCCGTGCTGTGAGCGCTGAGTGCCTCTTTGGTTCGGCCAGGCCAGGCCCGCAACAAGATGGCCGGTTGAAAAGGAACAAAACCGACATATCCGGAAGGACCCCCCCAGAAAATATCCACGCGCTTAACAAATGATAGCAGAAAATGCAAAAAGAGGCGTAAAAATTTCTCAGAATAAGAGAAAAACACAGCGGAAATAATAATAAATCATTCGCGACTTAAGATAGAAGTTTTACTCTTCAGACTTTATACAAGAAAAATAAAAGCTTGAAAAATTGTTTATCAACAATTTTTATCTTTTCCTTGCCCTCGTTAACATATCTAAATTTTATTTCATTTATTATTTAATAATATAAAAACCGCCGTCTCTGTGTGTAGTATGAATTCCTAATAACTGCTGCAATTTTTGTCCAATCTACATGAAATATTGGCTATATTTGTGTTCTGACGGAAAGTATAGGCTACTTATTTTGCGGAAATATTAGCTATAGAGTAAAGTTTTTATCAGTTTTAGATCGATGATCGCACTTACGTTGTCAGTGACCTTATTTTGTTCTTGCTTGAGGACGGAATCTCCATTAAGTTGCATTTAAAAATATTTTGGCAAATGGCGTATTTTAAACTTACTTCCTTAAATTTAAACTTTATAAGTAGATAGTCGTATTGTGTCACTTCTATAACAAACTTTTTAAAAATTATTTTCATAGTGACCACGTGACGATCTATTATCCAATCGAAAGAAACAATGTAACGAGCCTGTTATTTAGTGTTGTCGCTGATCTAACTAACGTAAATACAATTAATCTTTGTTTCGTGAATGTGGAATTAAAAAGACTCACTATTTTGTCTGAAAATACCTGCCTAAGGGAAGGGAAGGCATAAAAATAAAATCGGTGAGGCAAATTCCAAAGACCGAGGTCAGACTCAGCAACATTGAGTAAGAATGATTTGCCAAGGGCCTTAATTTATAGAAATATCAGTAACTCTTCTTGAATTTCTTGAAATCTGTACTCGTACAATACTGTACTCAGTACAATTCTTTAATCTCTACTTTCTCATAAAAAGAGTTCTGTCGTGTTGATGAGAGAATTTCTAGTTTTCTAATATTAAAGTATTTAGATATTCTTTTACATATAAGTAACAACTCGAAATTTTTGTTGTATATAAAAGTCTTCTTTACATTCTTCAAAACAAACTATATAATTATGTTATTTTAAAAACTATTGATTTAAGAAACCGAAACTAGAAAATACTTGTGGTTGCACTGTTGTTTATGCAAGGCTTCGGTTTGATGTTTTACATATACAACACTTTTTAAAACGTCAACTTATTTTTAATAATGTTTCATAATTTTTTGAAATACATTTACGACATATAGTCTATATTTGGTGTTAAATTTTAAAATAATTCATTGTTTTGCAGAAAATGCATCATTTGGAACAACAGGACATTGTTAGAACGTTACCTTATTTTGGTATCTCTTGTCATTTTTATTTCTTTTCTTGTCATGGTTGGTGTTTTATTACATTTTCAAAGTAAGTAAAAATAAAAAAACAAACAAAAAGGTATATTTAATCCTTTTTTCTTTTTATATCATTATTCCAATTATAAAGTTTTCTGTATATATTAACAAACCGTAATCAAGAGTTAGAGTTGGAAGTTAATTAATAAACGTTCATGTACTAAAACTAAAGTAAAATTGTAATACCATCCAAAGGCATAATGTTCCATATCTAAAAAAAAAATTGAAAATTAAATTGTGTATTTATAATGATATTTAATTGGTATCCGTCATCGATATGATTTAAAGACGATGAAGCCTTCGTTTTTGCGCGTCACAACTGTAACTCTTGATCCTTACTAGTGAATAGATCTTTAAAACAAGTTTTAAAATTAAATTATTTATTGTACAGTACATATGTATCTGCTAATGCGAGTATAGAATGTTAATATATCAGAAAACCTTACCTTAATACAGTATATAATTTCAAGAACATTATTTGCAATTATTTAGATGAGATGCTCGTCGTCAACTGTTATTTTATTTAAAGACCTTCGTGAAAGAATATACTAACCCACTATTTCAAGTGTTCGGGAAAAATCACCCTGAAATTTTGAATTTTCCTATATTCAGATCTGGTCATAGATGATTAATTATATAAGAGGCTGATAGATTAATCTATGGGAAATTATATGTCATGAGTTTGGAAACCATATCAGTCTTATATGTGTAGAAATTCAACAATAGACTGAGTTAGCATGTTCTTGTCCCAAAAATTTTCATTTATTCTATTATTTATGTTTAACATGTTTGTATACATGTATGTATTTTAGATAATTTATTTCATATTTCTGCTGTTGAAAATACAAAAGAAGATGTATTTTTGCGTATTCGAATTAAGATTAGCAAAAGTAATTACTGTAAACAATTGGTAAAGAGATAAATATTTTATAATAAATTTTTGTTACAGATTAGTAGCTCTAGTACACACGATAGTAACACAGCCGCTTCCGTTATTTTAGAACGTAAACCTTAGCAAATAATAAATTTTGGGTTTTATATTAATACGCATTGTTAAATTGAGTGTCGCGTATCTATTGACTACGAAGAAGTCATCAAGTTTAAGTGAAGTGAAGTCTAAAATAAATCAAAACCAATATAAAAGCATGCAAATAAATCTATTTTACCTATTTTCAAATTTTAAACCACTAATAATGAAAAAGTTGCATTGATGAATAGAACAACCACTTTTCAGTGTTTCCGTTTATCCCCGAATTCAAAATCGTTAATCTCAAAAAGAAATGAATCATTGTAAAAAACGCGTTTAAAATGATTGATTTCAATGAAAATTTAATTAAATAATATTAGGCCAATACCATAATGCAATTTTTAAATGTTACCGGAAAAGTTAAACAAGTCTTCGCTGGATATTTTTTATCTAGAATTCAATTGTATCAGAGTTAGAAAGTTTGTATTTTGCAAAATACCATTTTTATTAAATTTCAAATTCATTAATCTTCTTAAAAGCTATTTTTGAATTAAAAAATAGCTATTAAAAAGATTAATTTAAAAATAGGACGAAAATCAAATAATTGCAATTCAAATACGTTTTAATATTATTTTCAATTTCCAATATTTTCTTTACATAAAAATTTATTAAAACTGTTTATCATTTATAGATAAATCTCAAAAACCAAAGAAAGAAGTTTGCTTAAATAACATATGCAAATTTTCAGGTGAGATTTATTTTTCTTTATAGTCTATTATTTCGTGGTCTTTTCTGCTACTATTGCGAATTTTGAACGTATATTTTTAGTTAATTACTAAATTAATATTATATAAATTTTTAAGGAAAAAAGTTTCATAACATATTGCACCAGACAAAATGATAGGATTCTTCTAATAATAATATACTATTGTTATTTTGTGTGGATTCGAAGATTCCCGCATCTAATTTTTCGTAGTCTCATTTTAGAAATTGTTAATAGATTTATAGTTATTAACCTCTGTACCGAAGTAATTTTTCTGTTTTAATGTGAAGATATTAATAATATGTACACGATGTAGATACAAATCTCACAATCCAATATTGGTTGTAGGTGGTTGGAAATATTTGACGTCTCGCTTTTCCAATAAATAAATAAACTATTATGCAGCGAAATGTTAAAATTATATGTGGATATAACCTTTTTAATCTTAAAAGACACTGGCCATTTGGCCTTTTGCAAGTGCAACAAAAATACAAAATAAACAAACAACAGAAACACAAAAATCACCCAGAAAAATTAAAAAAAAAAAAAAAACAAGAAAAATAGTGAAGAAAGAAATTTTCTTCATTACAACAGAAAAGACATAAGTTATCCGTTGCAGCCAAAAACCCTTGGAAAATTTACTTCTATTCTCTTCCTTCATTCTTCCTTTCTTTTTGGTGTATATTAAATTAATTATCATTTTTAGATATTAAGTATGTGGGAAAAAGCCTTTGATCTGCAGAATCGTTGGTTTTTTTCGGTTAGAACGTCCTTGCTTTGAAAATCTAACTGAGAGGGTTTTTTCTTATGTTTGAGGTAAATTTCTTATTGTTAGTTATCTCTTGAAAATTTCTTTGTAACATGTTCCAGTATTTTATCAATTGAAAGACTGGGACAGTTTGTCCAATTGAAAGCTTTGTTGAGGGTTTTAAGTAGTTATAATTTAGACCATCGGTTCCTAACCTTTTTCATTAGCGTACCCCAGTGGCATTTCCAACTTCCCAACGATCAATGCATGCGCAAATCTCGCACTACCAGTTTGTAGAATGTGTCACCATTTTAAATTTTATTTTGACTCGGTTCTAGGTTCCCTGAGTATCTAGAAGTCTGTTTTTTTTATGTGCGCATGATTTGGGAACCTAATATTTTGTGCCAAATTGCAACTTCTGACACGTACTCCTCAATCCTCTAAGCTGGTAATACAGCAGGCAGTACGATTTTATAAACAAGACATAGTCTTCTCAATAAAAAATTAATAAAAATACTGAATAAATAATGAAAAAAAATACAGCTTGTAGAGAAAATCTGGAGAAACTAGCAATGTCCTTTTCCTTGCTAACAATAAAAAAATACTTTTTATAAACGAAAAAAATACTTTTTTTTCAATCAATACGTAGGAGTTTGTTGAGAGATAATAGAGAGGTTGCGGCCGACGTTTTCATCGCGAAAACGTGTACGTCGGACGTTCAGCGCCGTCTTCCTGTAACCCTAGAAGTTTGACAATGGCGATTGGAATGTCAGTGGAATCATACTCAACGTATCAAACACCATTGTCAAACTTCTAGGCTTACAGGAAGGCGGCGCTGAACGTCCGCCGTACACGTTTTTGCGATGAAAACGTCGGCCGCAACCTCTCTAATAATAATAACGGTAACACACCCCAGCATCAAAAGTCCGTAGCATAATCACTAATCACACATAATGGTATCCCCACTACCATTGACAGACTGCGCAATTAGTTTATATTTTAAATGATAGCTGATCTCTTTCTTATCTTTAATTATTTGCTCATCTGTTTTACCACTGCTTGTCATATTCGCGAGGCCTTTTTTTTATACTATGTTTCAGGTTTTTTTTCTCTTCTTTCTCGATTTTTGAATTATGTATCATTTTATCAATTCCGATACTACTTCTATTCATTTAGTAGATATGTTACCGCTAAAGCTCGAAATCCGTTAATGTGCGCATTACCTAGCTAATCTGCAGATTAACTAGGGTGATCCGTTAAAGCTGCGAAAATTATTCCATTTCTCAAATTACCTAGGTAATGTTCAGATTATCTAGGTAATCTGCAAATTACCTACTAGGCACTCGGTAAAGTGAAAATAAGATTTTTGGTGGAACAACAGCAACGTTTCTGTACGCTTAAATTAACATAATGTTATTTATTTAATTTTCAATATCTAAAGAATCAAGTTAATACAATCAACAAATTAGTTGATTGAATCAATCATCAATCAATTAAAAAAAC